CCCAGTGCTGGGGTTGAAACCCAGGCCTTGTGCATACTAGCCAAGCACTCTGCTGCAGAGCTACAGCCCCAGACCTGCTCTTGCATGTTGTGACTGTAGGTATCCTCAACCCTACAGAGGAGCCTGTAGTCAGTTCCATGTATGTGGTTTTCAGGATGTACTGCTGATAATGTGTCCAGACCCACCCTCTGCAAGATGGATATCGATACCATCTCCTGTGTCGAGTGACAAAACTTTTCCTGGGGAGACATAACACACACATCTACACACCCCAGACTGGAAAGCCATGACAGATCAAAGTACAAAAGTCCAACTTGGTAAACCTGTAAGTTTTATTGGAGTGACTTACAGGCATATGGATGAGGAGTTACTTATAGTAGAGATGACTCGAAGACAGCTGCAAAGCCAAAGCCCACCCCAGCATGGGTGACAGCTCCCAAAGCTGGGAACCTGGAGCACACTGCCAGCCTGCAGGCAGCTCAATGGGTTGGAGAGTGTTCTTTCCAGGTGACTCGGTCTAAACCTCTTTTAGGCATAAGAGCTGGTTTCTCTTTCTTCCTGGCAGCTGGGTCTGGTCTTGTAGTTTGAGAGTCTTTTCACTTGAGCTTTTCTCCTCTGAGAGGGACTCTCAGCTTTAATTGCTTTCTCTGGTAGGGAGGGGCCTAGTGAGTCTGGTCAGATGCAGGGATTTCCTGAAGCTATTTTGAGTTGTTGACCTTGCTGTTTTATGTGCTTCCCTGAAAGATGGGATGTTTCAGTGTTGGAGCTGTAGCAAGAAAACTGAGCACAGCCTCTGGGCTGAAAGGGGCTGGGGTGGGTGCACACAGCAGATACTCCACAGAGTCAAAGCAGTGACTAGGAATCTGGCCAGTTCGGATCACCCGGGTAAAGACCGCGACCCTCAGCCTTCATGTTGGATCCCAGAGGCCAGCAGCTACAAAGGAGCAGCCAAAGTCAGAGGTGGAAACCAGGGCCAGGAGATTAATGGAAGCCTAGGGCCACCCTGAGCCTCCCCCAGAACTGTCCCCTTGCTCTTCTCTAAGTTAGTACTGGGAAGCCATGAAGTCGCCATCTCCCCGTCTCCAGGAAGCTTCCGTTTTAGGCCAGTCAGAATCACAGGTATCATAAGGTGTCACCAACATCCTGCCATCACAGAATTATTCCATCGAGGAAAACAGTCACCATCTTTAGAACAGGTCCCTTTGTCCACTTTCCTTGTCTACAGGACCTACAAATAGCTACTAGGCCCACCCCTCACACCATCTTCCGCCGCTCTTTAGCAGGTGTACACCTACATATCCCTCTTCCTGACCTTGCTTGAGGCTGACTATTGCAAACATGTGGAGCCTGAGCTGACCCTGTCTGCAAAGAGTCGGGTGGCATATAGCTTAGAAAGTGGAATTTGAGGGAAAGGCAGACACGACTCAAGTTTCAGGCAAGCAAGATATGTGATCTGAGATAAGCCACCTACCTGGCTTCTCTGGGCCTCTGTTTATCCACCTATTAAATAGAGATGAAATATTATTCCTCCTGCCAGGCCAGAATACGAGTGAGAGGGAATCATGTGTACAACAATTTAGAGCATTTCCCATGTATATACTGTGACAATATCCTTTTAATTCCTTTTGTAGGTCCAGAGCAGATATGGAACTGCCCTGTTGAAGATATTACTTTAGTTGCCTACTACATAGCAAGTTATTCCAAACTCATGGCTTAAATAAATATAAGCATCACCTCCCAGTCTCTTTGCATGAGAAGTCTGGGCACAGCTCATCTGGGTACTGTGCTTCTGGGTCTGTCCAAAACTATGATTGGGATTGATGGAAATTGTCATTCTGTAACTATGTTTCTCTTATTGGTTAATGAATGAAGCACTGTTGGCCAATAGGAAAACAAGATAGACAGAGCGAGGAGACAAGGAGAATTCAGGGAGAGGTAAGAGGAGAGTCAACGTGTAGAGACTTAAGAGAACAGAGAGGTCCAGGCCCTCTCTCCGGTAAGATGAGATCATGTGGATTAATGTAGACTAATATAAATGGTTAATATTTAAGACAGAGCTAGCCAATAAGAAACTACTAACTGGCCAACAACTTTATATCTAATACAGCATCTCTGTGTGTTATTTGGGGGCTGGACCAGCGGAAAAAAACATACTCTTAACATGGGATATTGGCCAGGGCTGAAGTCTTATCTGAATGTTCCAAACAGGAAAATTCAATTTGACACACAATACAAATGGTATGTGTCAGGTACAGAGTTTGAGCTTTAAGCCAGGAATTCGAAAATGGATGCCTTGGGGTCCTTGTCTTGTAGAAATTTCTTGTGAGCAGTGACCTCTGCTTCATGCTGTTATTTTCCCTGCTGTGAACCCTCTACAGGCAGGAAGCTACTAACTCTGCACTATAGGGTCCTCTTCCTCCATCATAGGAGGCAGAGGGAGAGTGGGAAAGGGAGGGAGGCCTCTAGGAAGCACTAGGAGAGTGGTGGTTAACTTGCTGCATATGTCTCAGGGAATGAAACCATCCCTGCCCTCGGAGAGCATGGTGAAAACATATCAGGCATTACAGTCGGATCCAGCCTGGAGGACGAGGGATGCCACAGGTGAGTTGGCAGAGACCCATCTTCACAAAGAAAGAGCTGCACCCAACAGCTGGGGAGCTGGCCTGAGCTCTCTTTCCAGGGTCCTAGGAGCTTGATTTCACTGTAGCTGTGTCCCCTTGTCACACAGTGCCCAGCTTTCCAACCTGTGACTCCAACCTCACAGATGCCAAAGAGGCTGTGTTTATAAAGTAGCAGACTCAGTGTGAAAATGTAGCTGCTTTCTCTAGGAGCTCTGAGCATCACCTTCCCTGGCCTAGCCCTAGACCCTCTTCGTTTTGGCAACAAGACTGGACTTGGTATCCAGGCTGGATCAGTCTCTGTTCTGTGACTTACAAAACAATGGCTCAAGTGAGCCAACCAGAGTTCTTCCCTGGGATTTTTTTTCCCTGGGTGAAGCAAAATTACTTTCCCAGCTGTCAGGACACATCAAGATCCTAGAGACAGCTGGTGGCCATGTTTCAAACTATATGGGGTAGGGATGGGCAAAAGCTCAAGAAGGTGGGGGAACAACAGCACCAAATTCTTGTTTATCACCCTCCCCTTTCAGACAAGTAACCCAATAAATGCCCTTTTTATTGACTTGAAGGAATTCAAATTGGGTTTTGGGTTTTCTATCACTTGCCAAAAGAAGGGTCCTACAATATCAGCCCATCCTCTTGCCACTGGAATCCAAGCACAAGCTACAGGGCTGAGGGTGTAGCTCAGCATTTACTTAAAATGCACAAAGCTGGGTTTCCCGCCCTAGCATACCATGCAGAAGCATAATATACAAGTCTTCCTGGGAGAGGTCATCTAGGGGTCCAACTTGAGTTTTTTTTTTTTAATTTATGTGTGTATGACTGCATGTACGTATATGCATTGTACATATGGAGGTGCCCAAAGAGCCAGAAGAGAGCATCAGGCCCTTGGAACTGGAGTTACAGACACTGTGAGCTGCTGGACTGAATCCAGATCTTCTACAAGAGCAGCAAGTGCTCTTAATTCATCACCATCTCTCCAGTCCCAGTCCAGCTTCTTGATACTGTGTAGATGATCGGTATCAGATTCCTTCTTGAGGAAAAAAAATAGAATTATAAGGTTATTTTACAAAACATATAGGGCACTATAAGATTAAAAGTGAGGAAAGACATCTTCCACTTTGTGTACTAATGAAAAGGATTATGACTCCAGGCCTGGCTTTGAATCTACATCTGGTCCCTATCTCACCTCTCTGGGCATCCATTTCCTCATCTATAAAGTAGGAATACAAATATTACCTGCCCTTCATATTTTATAAAGTTATCACGTGTGCACACACAAAACACATGTGCACACAAAACAAACAAAAACACTGACACAGCTTTGTTGGCTGTGCACCAGCAAGCACTACTTTTAGATAACATCTCACTATGTAGCCCTGGCTAGTCTGGAATTCAGTAGTCTTCCCGCCTCAGCCTGAGTGCTGGGATTACCATCATGTACCACCACAAGCAGATCTTAACATGGCATATCTGGGCAAATGCCAGTGGACAAAATTGTCAGTGAGCCACTGCCCAGAAGGGCATCCCGAGATGAGAGAATAGGCAGGTATTGACACTGAGAAGGACACAAGGGCTACAAAGTAGCAGTCAGTTTGGGCCTCCCTAAGGAGTCAATAGCTACAACTCCATCACCTTTACTGGCCTGAGTTCTAGCTAATTTCTATATTTTTAATCTTTCTTTTCTTTCCAGTTACTTTAGCATGCAAATTATTTTTTAAAGCAACTTAGAAAAGCATAAAATTAAAAGAACCCATCCCCATTGAGTCCTGGTCACCCAAGATAACCAAATTAAGCAGTGCTGTGTGTTTCCAGCCTTTGAGTCCAGATGACATCTTCACTTAAGGTCTCACTTTTAAAAGCACTGCTCCACACTTGGTGGGTTTTATTTAACTTAGAGGTTTTACCCTATCATCAATAAGGTTTTGTTTTTTCTCTCTCTCTTTCTCTTTCTTCTTCTTTCTACATTTATTTATTTGTGTAGGGGTGTGTGTGGATGTGCACGTACCAGGGTACATTAGACATGTCAAAGGACAACTTTTTTTTTCTCCTTCTACCATGTCGGTCCTGGAGATCAAACAAAGATCGTCGGGCTTGGCAGACTCAGTGTTCTTGTTTTCCAGATCCGTTATAGATGAAGTTCAATAATATTGTTAAAGAGAAGAAACAAAAGCAAAGTGAAAAGGAGTCAGGAATTGGGGGGGGGGGTGGGAGAAAGCAGGGTTGGGGGGAAAAGTCAGAGACTGTCTCCGCCTCCGAGCCCGCCTCCAGACGCGGCCCCGTCCCCTGCCGCAGCCTGCAGTGCCGCCTCCGGCCGCCAGGAGCCGCCCCTCGAGGCAGCCTGCACTACGCGCGCTCCGAGGCCGCTCTCTCCCGCCGGGTGCGCCGGCCTCTTGCCCTCCCGCCGCCGCTCTCGCGCTTCGGCCGCGTCTCGCGCGTGGTCTTCTCGTGAGGGGCCTCGCGCCGCTGGGCGCGCGCCGTCCCCCTGCCTCGCGGCGCGGGGTCTCGCGGGCCCCGCTCCCGCCCTCCGCTCGCCTGGCCCGGACCGGAAGCGGCGCCGCACGGCCTGGGCCTGGCGCGGGGGGCGGGCTCTGGGGCCCGGTCGGACATGGGCAAGAAGCACAAGAAGCACAAGTCGGACCGGCACTTCTACGAGGGTGAGGAGCGACCGGCTAGCCTGCGGAGCCGCGCCGCCCCTGCCCGCAAGGCCCCGACCCGCGGAGATGCCCCGGCGGGGCGGCGTTCGACCCGGGCCTGCCGGCCCCGGCGGGTGTTCGTGGGGCGCTGGGAGGTGGGGCGCCCGCCCTCGGTCTGCCCCCCGTCAGCCCGCGCCCTGCTGTTGTTTCAGAGTACGTGGAGAAGCCCCTTAAGCTGGTCCTCAAAGTGGGTGGCAGCGAAGTCACTGAGCTCTCCACGGGCAGCTCCGGGCACGACTCTAGCCTCTTCGAAGACAGATGCGACCACGACAAACACAAGGACAGAAAACGGAAAAAGAGGAAGAAAGGAGAGAAACAGGCTCCGGGGGAAGAGAAGGGGAGGAAACGGAGAAGAGTCAAGGTAAAAGTGGCTTCTTTGCTTATGGCCCCGTCATCAGCTCCCAGCCTCCTTGTCCTCGGTCTAATGGGACACCAGGGCGCCTGGGGAGTCTGGCTTTGTGGAGGAAGAGTAAGATAGGCTAGAAGCCTGGATCACCTGGGAGCTCAGCAAGTCTTGTCCTAGTAATATTCTTGAGCACTTGTGCTGTCCCCACACGTCATGTAAGCAGCTGAGCCTTGGTCTTCAGGGTCTGCTCCAAAGGTTGCTTTTAGAATTACCTTGGAAGGGTAAGAAGTCACTCCCCGGAAAGCCTTGGAGGTTTGGCAGACCTAGCCATTCTTCACATGTGAATGGGATCTACGGGTGTTGAGATGTTCTGAAATAAGTATTTTAGTGGCAGATTGACCTGCAACTAGATGGCATGTGCCTTAATACCAGCACTCAGGAGACTGAGGCCAGCCTGTACTGTTAAATGCAACAATCCAAAAAAAGAAAAAAAAAAAAAAAAAGAAAGAAAGAAAAAAGTCTTGAGTCTGTTGAAGAGAATATGATTAGAAGCCTGAAATAACTATAAACCAAGAGTGAAAGCAGACAACCATTTTACTTAATAGAAAAGAATGAATAGCTGATGTCTTGATTTACAAGGTAGGATGAATAGTTAAGAACTTTCTTCACAGAAGTGAGCCCATCCATATCTGGAATTGTCCTAGAATTCTGCACAAAAGTTTAGCTGCTTCTGAGTGGCTTACCTTAAAAGAGATGCTTCCCAAGGTTTGGTTCCTGAATTTTCTTTTACAGTGTACAGTCAATGTGCCCTACTCCCTGTCAGTAAATACATTGGTGAGTGACCAAGCCTTAGAGACTGTTTCTTAAAGATGTTTTAAGTTATCCAGGGGAAGAAAACATCCAAAATGTATTTCTTTCTGACTGGGTTTTTATTGCCTTTAGGTAGACTATGACAGTAGTCACAGTCTCGTCAGGCTGTCTTGACATTTTCTTTTCCTAAACTACCAAAACCACAGAAGCATGAGCCTTTCAGTTTTTTAACTGAGAGCTTTGGAAGTGAACATGTTGTAAATTGTTTTACGTGTGAGCTCAACAAGCCTTGACAATATTCTGGCCTAGAACTTGGTATAGTGTGATCGATCGTTCAGTTTTCATCACCCAGTTGCTGGGATTATGGGTGTGTACCACTACCCCTGGTTTAGTAACCTAAGAAGTATGTATAGGTAGATTGTATTAAGCTTTCCACACTTAGAAATGTTTGCCCTTGGGTAGAATTCTCATACAGATTGGGTTTGAGTAATTATAGAAATTTAAACTAAAAAATCTTTTCTCAGAATTTTAAAATTTAGTGCATGTGGTGCATGCAGGTACTTGTGGAGCCCAGATGAGGAGGTCATACCCCTAAGAGCTGGAGTTCCAGGTACCTGCTGTGAGCTGCTGAACATAGGAACCAAGCTTGGGTCCTCTGGAAGAACAAGTGCTCTTAAATTTTTTTTTCCAGGGTTTTTGTTTTTTGTTTTTTGTTTTTTTTTTTTTTTTTTTTTTTTTTTTGCTCTTAATTGTTGAGCCTTCTTTCAATCCTCCCTTCTCTCAGAATTTTAAAAGCATTTTAAAATTTAAAATTAAACATATTTCAGATATCTTCTCACTGCTGTTCAGAAGTCAATCTGTTTTATTCTGATTCTTAGTTTATGACCAGTATTTGCTTTCTTGGAATTTTTGGGATTGTCCCCCCTCTCTCGTCGTCGTTGTTCTAATGTTTCACAGTAGATACTTGTACCTTCACTTCTGAAGTGTTTGTTCAAAGTATCTTTGATCATTTTCTTTCCTCCATTTTCTCTTCTTGGAACCTCTGCCATGAAGATGTTGGACTCCTAGATTGAAAGTCTAATTTTCTTTTCTTTTCTCTCTCTCTCTCTCTCTCTCTCTCTCTCTCTCTCTCTCTCTCTCTCTCTCTCTTAGTTTCTTATGTTCTTTAAGGAAGACTCAACTTTATCTTCTGAGCCTGAGACTGTGCATATGAAGTTTCCAAGTTATGTGGGTATTGTTGGTATAGGGTCACTGACACAGTGCTTTCAGTCTATACTTTGTACTGTTAGATCAGTAACTCTGGGGACCCTGACTAGCCACCTGAGTTTTAACAAGGCCTTCAGACTGTTCTGATGCACATTTTACCATAAGAACCACAATGGGAAGCCAGGTGTGGTAGCATACTTTAACCCTGGGGGGGAGGAGGGCAGTGCAGGGGACAGACTAAGTTTGAGGCCAGCCTGGTCTGCATAGTGAGTTCCAGGACTATGGAACTATCTTGAAAAAACAAAAAAGAGGGGAAAAAAAGAGCCATAAGTCAATAATAATCTTTTATGTATTTATATGTCATGTTGTGAAGTTTCTCTAGACTATATACAGAGAAAGGAATAGCTGAAAATGGGGGGAAAGCTTTGTAAGGTAATCATAATTGCTGTCCTAATTGTACCTACTCAACTACCTAGAACAGTGGTTCTCAACCTATGGGGCATGACCCATTTGGGTCAACTGACCCTTCACAGGTCACCTAAGACCATTGGAAAACCCAGGTACTTACATTATGATTCATAATAGTAGCAGAACTTCAGTTATGAAATAGCTCGAAAATGATGGTTGTAGGTCAATCCCCCCCAATGAGGAACTATATTAAAGGGTCACAGCATTAGGAAGGTTGAGAACCACTGACTGTAAGGCATTTCTTATTTCTCTACATTTTTATTAAAACTTGTTCAGACATTTAAATTCTGCCCATCAGAGAGACTCTCTTCTAAGTTTTTGTTTTTTTTTTTTTTAATGTGGATGGGTGTTTTGTCTGTGTATATCTGGTGTGCTGCTACATGCCTGGTACCCATTAGAGGCAGAAGATGGCCCCGGCATTGAAGCCCCGGATCTGGAGTTGTGGGCCACTCTGAATATAGCCAGGTCCTCTGAAACAGCAGCCAGTCCTCTTAACTGCTAAGGAATCTGTCTAGCCCTGACTTGTAGTCTTTAAATTTATAATTCCTGAGGCTTAGGCAGCTTGAGATGGTTTCACATCCTTTCTATGAACTACCTGTGGTGCCCTTTTTCTTTGGTTCTTAATCTTTACATGGTTTTATAAATGTTTTGTAGTTATTCTTTTTTTCCCTTTTATGATTATGTTTCAAGTACTTCATCCCAGTTTATGGCTAGATATTTTAGTTTGGTTTCTTGGCTTTATTGAGGCACCAAAATTTATACATTCAATTTCAAATTTGGAATGGAGAGACAGGTGTTAAGAGCATTTGCTTTTCTAAGGGACCTGAGTTCCGTTCCTAGTATCCTATCAGGCAGCTTAAAACCACCTGTAACTCTAGTTCACGGATATCTGATGCCCTCTTCCGGCCTCCGTGGGCACTGTATGTATGTGGTTTACATATATACACCCAGACATACATGTATACATAAAATAAATCTTTAACTCAAATTTATCAGATTTGTTCTTTAAGAATCAGTCTTTTTGTGTTTCACTTCTTGGGAGTTTGTTGTGTAGGTTGGTTCCTGGATTGATATTCCATTCTGTTGTGCTTGTCCATCCCTTTGTCTGCATTGTCTTTATAATCACACTGTACCAATGCCAAGTGCCATTAGGCTTACTATCTTTTATAGCTTTTGCTTCCTTGGTTGCTTGCAGTACTGGAAATCAGACTTAACCAAGTCCTCTCAGCAGTTATACAAGTGTTTTACAAGGGATCCACATCCTCAGCTCCTTGTTATCTTACTGTGACCTTTTTCAAAACTGTTCTGCTTTAATCATTTACTCTTTTAAAAAAAAGTATTTAACTGGTTGCAGATTTCATGAAAAATTCTGTTTTACAGTTTTAAGTGTTGATGACTTTGAACAGAACATGCTATATGTCCTTATTCAAGTCTTCTGCTATTTATTGGCTCACTGATGTTTCATGATTTCCCATGGAAATCTTAGGTTTGCTCTGAGGAATATTATATTGTGTGTGTGAATAGTATTATTTTCTACTCAATTATTTCTGGCCTTCTTTTCCTCAATGAACATGCTCTCTTTGTCCAGTAGATGGCAGTAAAATACATTGGTTTCTTAATTTAGAATAATGTATTCTTTTCAGTAGTACCTTTTTTCCTTAAAGATCTAAAATATGTATTTAAAGATGTTGATTGTGAAACATTTCTAAATTGCTTCCCTTTGTTTTATTTAGGAGGATAAAAAGAAGCGGGATCGAGACCGTGTGGAGAATGAGGCAGAAAAAGATTTCCAGTGTCATGCCCCCGTGAGATTAGATTTACCTCCCGAGAAGCCTCTCACAAGCTCAATAGCCAGACAAGAAGGTTGGAGTTACTCTGAGCTGTCTGTTCTGAGTGAGGAGGCAGAAGTTGTAGGGAGGGAAAGGGATGGAGCATTAGCTTCTGAGTTATAACTTAAAGACTATAGTGAGTTTATTCTTAGTTCCCTTATTTCTCTCGCTGCATGAGGGCTCTAAGTTAGCTTCACTGTTAACTTGATATTCTCAGCCTTAAGCACTTTTGTGATAAATTGAATTCCTGGGTGAGATGTTTAATAAAACATAGATGAGTCATATAGATAGAAAGCCGAAGTGCTACCTTATGCCTTTTTAACACACATTTCCTGTTTGCTTTAGAAGTAGAACAGACACCGCTTCAGGAAGCTTTGAATCAACTCATGAGACAATTGCAGAGGTAAATGTTTTCCAGCTTTTTTTTTTTTTTTTTTTAAGATGGTGGTAATTCAAAGGGTGAACATAGAGATCCAAACCACAACTCTGTTTTTGGTTATCTAAAGTCAAAATGTGTGACCTAAACCAAAGCATACTTGATTTTAAAAGTAGATGATAAGTACTTTGCCTAGCAATAGAAGTATTCACAAGAGGGGACACATACTCTTACTTGGTTTAACTGGCAACTTTAAGGGTGTTATGAAATGTCTAGTTTTTCCTTTCTAAATTAGTTTCTCATATTAAAACTTGAAGCAAGGAGTAACAATACAGATAACTGCCCCACACCCCCTACCCTGCTCCTTGCTAGTAGTACAAGACAATCCTTCTTATGTGTTTGTGCAGCACCTAGGTTCTGTGTTCAGCAGTTATTAAGTCTGAAAGGTAAAATAGGGGTGCTTAAGCTTTATACCCCTTATTTGACTATGTTGTTTTTGAGCTAGGCTCTCACTCTGAGGCTAACTTGGAATTCACCATCCTCCTGCTTCAATTTCCTGAATGTTGGGATTGTAGGTGTATGCCACCATGCCTAGCTTTATGCCCCATTTACTTACTTAATTACTTACTTACTTACTTGTTTATTTATTTGGTTTTTTGAGACAAGATTTCTCTGTGTAGCTTTGGAGCCTATCCTAGAACTCTCTCTGTAGACCAGACTGGCTTTGAACTCACAGAGATCTGCCTACCTCTGCCTCCCAAGTGCTGGAATTATAGGCAAAAACCATTAATACCAGGCTTTGGGCTAGCCTCTTTTTAAGTGTTGGGATAGTTAAGGAAATGATAATCTCTGATCTTTGCATTTGGTAAGTCATTTGCTTGTCAGTCCAGCAAGAAGAGTTAAGTATTGCTGTTTTATCCCAACTGAAAGGTGTGATTATAAAGTGTTTTGCCCTTTGTAACAAAAGAACATAATGTTTGCCAATAATATAACTGAAAAAATAAAGTCTACTTCAGGAAATATTTAAAGTCAGAGAAACTAACATTGATGAGGACATTTGAGGATTAGAACCCAGAACCACATTCTGTAACTATCCTTAGTGATTGGATGATTCTGTATCCTTGAGACTCAGAACTAAACCTGACTTTAAAAATGTATTTGATGGTACCACCAAAACGATTGATTTTTAGGGAGTACAGATAATTTGTTCTTAAAGGTAAGAAGAGGTCAGCCATTGGTGAAACTTGTTATATCCATAGTAGCCCCTTGGATGTTTGGACTAATGTGTGTGGTCTACAGAACTTGCTCTGCAGACCAGCCTGTCGTTAAACTCACAGAGATCTGCCTGCCTCTGTCTCCCAAGTGCTGTGATTAAAATTGTGTGCCACTACCCAGTGCCAAATTTTTCTTGACACCTTCTCCACTCACAGTTATGTCACAGTATATAAAGTCACCACCCTACAGCTTAAGAAGCTGACCCATAGAGTATGTATACTTGACCCTGGTAATATTAAAAATACTAGTACCGTGTATACAAAATGCTGATACCACATTGAACCCTGGCTACACCAATGATGTGATGCCTTTTCCCTTAAGACAGTCTTGATATAGTGAGGTTGGGTGAGTCCTGTCCCACTACTTAATTTTTTTTTTTTTTTTTTTTTTTTTTTTTTTGAAAGCTCCTGTTCTAATATACAGCCAGATTTGAGAATGAACCTGTGATAGAAAACACTAGTTTTCACATGTAGAGGTTGTATACTGTGTGTGTGTGTGCTCTGTAGCTCATGTGTGTAGGAATCAGTTTAACCATGTTGGTCCTGGGGATTGAACTTAGATGTTCAGTATCTAGTAAAGAAACAGTACCTCTTCTTCCATTATATTTGTACAGCCTTCATAGGCCCTTCTCTTTGGGACAAGAGGCTTTTTAAAGCCCCTGAAGGCACTGTGCATGTCTCTATCACTACGATTTTCATTAGGTCAGGATTTCCTCCTGCATTTGCCTCTCATGTTGTGTGCTCTGGCCTCTTAAATCCTGAGCATCTGCAGTTGGATGAAACAGGCAGGCTAGGGCCTGCCTAAAGGCTTCGGCTCCAGAGTCACCACAAGGCTGACAGCACAGGAAGGTCACACAAACTGTTAACTTTCCAAGGCTATTGCTTCCACTTGGGTCCCTTTCTGAAGACAATATGGAACAGTTAGGTGGATGCTGCTGCATAGTGAACCCAAGTAGTGTGCTCATGCCCGTTCCTAACCCTACCCCATATCCCATCAGTTCCCACCTCAATCCAATAGCAACTTTCCTTTTTTAAAAAGTTTTATTTATTCTATATACAGTGTTCTACCTGCACACCAGAAAAGGGCACTATATATAACCAGTAGGTTGTGAGTCGCCATGTGATGGCTAGAAATTGAACTCAGGACCTCTCTGAGTCATCTCTCCAGCATCCCAATAGAAACTTTTTAATGTCTTTTGAGGGGGGCTCCACATGAACATAATAGAAATGTTAATTAATTGATTGGTAAAGCATGCTTTTATGGACTAGGAATACATACCATTTAGGTACAGAACCAGAAAGAAAGATTGTAATGTGTGTTCATGGTTAAATCAAGATGAGTCACTGTGCAGTTAGTCTACATTACTCATAGAAGATGCTGGTAATTGGATTGCTTCTCTAAAAGAGAAGTTTTCTGTGTCTTAAGGGCACAGCAATTAGCAAGCGATGGTAGTTCTCACCTTTAATCACAGCACTCAGGGGTAGAAGCATGCAAATCTGCGTGAGTTCAAGACCAGCCTGGTCCACAGAGTGAGTTCCAGGACAGCCAGAGCTACACAGTGAGACTGGGAGATAGGGGGGAGCGGTGATACAGTACTGCTATTGAAAGTATCTGACCCCTTATTAATAAAATAGTTCTTGAAATCATTTATTTTTCAATGAAAAGCAAGTATACATTTTTTTACATTCGAGAGTTTATTATTTTGACTTTGCTTCTGTACCAGTAGGTTGTGATAAAAATAATGTCACCTTTTCTACACAGAAAAGACCCAAGTGCTTTCTTCTCATTTCCTGTGACGGATTTTATTGCTCCTGGCTACTCCATGATAATTAAACACCCAATGGATTTTAGTACCATGAAAGAAAAAATCAAGAATAATGATTACCAGTCCATAGAAGAACTAAAGGTAATTGTAATTGGTAGTTTTATTTTGTTTTATGATAGGGTCTTGTTTAGCCCAGCCTAGCCTTAACTGATCTCCTGTCTCCACTTACCAAGTGCAAGGATTGTAGATGGGTGCCACCAGATGTGGCTCTTTAGCTTTTTAATAGAGAAGTAGACTACAGTATAATGCATTCAAACTAAGAGTCAAACTCTTGGATTTTGTGTAAAACAGAAAATCTTGTTAAAAATCTGCAAATCTGTGTTAGATTCTCAGGATCACCATGATGGAAAAGAGAACAGACTCTACAGAGTTGTTCTCTTTATACATGTGCTGCAGTGGTAATGACTGTGTGTGTGTGTGTGTGTGTGTGTGTGTGTGTGTGTGTGTGTGTGTGTGTGTGTGTGCACATGCACTCACAAGCAAGCATACACACATAAAAATAGGTAAATAAAGGGGATCTTTAAAATGTATTTAGTTGCCAGGCATGGTGGTGCATATATCTTTTTTAATCTCAGCACTAGGGAGGCAGAGGCAAATGGAACTCTGTGAGTCAAGACCTGCTTGCTTACATAGTGAGTTCCAGGACAGCCAGGGCTAGGTAGAGACCCTGTCTCAAAAATAAATTTAAATAATATTTTGACTTACTAATCTGCTAATCTCTGCCACCAAGATGACTAAGCAAGTGAAGAAAGGCACTTGCCACACAAGCCTACTGAGTTGAATTCAATCTCTACAATCCACACAAAGGTAGAAGGGGAGAGCTAATGTCATAAAACTATCTCCTAAACTCCTGTGCACACATGCGCATATACATGTCATGCAAATACACAATTTATTTTAAAAGATCTAGTATTTGGTCTTTTTTGTTTTTCAGGACAGGTTTCTCTGTATAGCCCTGCCTGTCTGGAACTAACCTTGTAGACCAGGCTGGCCTCTGCCTCTGCCTCCCGAGTGCTGGGATTAAAGGCATGTGCCTCAGCCACCACCTGGCAATCTGGTATTTAGTCTTTATTTTAACCTCATTTTTTAAATAATATTATTTATTATTTAAATGTCCAAGTCTGTATTTTTCTACTTTAGAAACTCTTGGGTGGATCAGTGGGTAGAGGTACTTGCACACAAATCTTGATACTTAAGGTCCTATAAGTTATCAGGAGAGGACCTACTCCCTAGAGTTGTCCTGACTCCCAAACATGCACCATGGCACATGTGCATATACAACACATTATTTTATTAACAAAGTAAAATACTAAAGGAAAGTTCAATTGTATTTTCCAGTTTGATGAAAGAGAATTGTTCCCTGAGTTGACTCTGGGTGTATTTGTTTCAGCATATTAAATTGTCAACTTTTTGAAGAGAAGAGAGCTGAGAGTGTGTGGCTTAATGGTTGAAGAGAGCTCTTACCTAACGTCCACAAGGCCTTGGATGTGATCCCAAGTGTGAGGCAGGAAGAAGGAATAAAATACATATAAGGAATCTTGGGAGGTTGGGTAGATGGTTCAGTGGCTAAAGTACTTGTTATATAAGCATGAGGACTTTGAGTTTAAAACACTAGCACCCACATAAAGCAGGTAATTGTAATCTTGGCACTATGTGGCTGTGTGGAAACAGGCAGAGACCCATCTCAAGGGCTTGTTGGCCAGCCAGCTAGTTGGAGTATTGAGCTCCAGGTTCAGTGAGAGCCAGTCTCAAAAACTAAGATGAGAGAGAAATACTTTGCATCTGTCATCTGGCTGACACCCAGAAACACACATTCACCCCAAAATAATCCAGAAGCCACCAGGACAGCATGTATGTTTCTCATTTTAGGGTTTTTTTTTTTTCCTCTTCAAATAGTCTGAGTATATGTTGATTTCAGGGATGTGCTTTCATGTTAATCTTGTAAATTAGCCTTATGTGATTAAAGTTTGTATTAGACCACACACACACACACACACTTGCCCTGGCTTCAGTAATTATCGTTTTTGAGGGCCCCCACATGGTAGTGTGCAACCAACCTAACAGATGGACACTAATCAGTTACAGAAGAAAATGGAACAGTAAACATTTTTACTTAGTCTTTTTTAATTCACATGTTAATCAGCTAAAATTCATACAGGCTAGCAGCATCTACTTTTCTTTAGTTTTAATTTGAATATGTAATTAATAATTGACTTACTTGGAAAACCTGAATTCCACTATCTTACTTAAATGGACATTTTTCTTCTGACATATTTTCATCCAGTTAAAATTAGTCTGAAACTTTATTTCAGACTTTATTACTCAGGAGAAGAGAGTTTTACAGTTGTGGGCTTGGTTTTTTAATCTTTTTTCTTGTGGTCACAGCAGAAAATAACATATTTGTCCTCTGAGTATGTTTAAGTAAGTCAGAGCTTTCCAGCACTTTTAGCCTTCTGGATTTTCTACAGGAAGAAGAGTGTACAAAACAATTGAGTGTTCAAGTGCCATCACACAAAGTACAGTAATGACAACTTTCCACATGATAGCTAAAATATAAGGAATCTGAAAGTCACCTTGGGCTATTGATATAACTGGTTCTTCTAGGTTTAAGCCCCAACCACCCAAAAAAAAAAAAAAAAATAGTCTAACAGGCAAGACATAGAGTCATTAAAGTGATTTCCTGCCAATTCATATTCATCATTCATTTTCTTGTCAGCCACATGGTCGTTTCCTGCCTAAACTTAACAGTCTAATGTCTTACCTCACTTGCATTCCTCTGTAGATCAAGTAAGATACTGAGAGGTCCCGAATTTGCCAAACCCTTGACCAGAGCTAGAACCCACATATTCTTCCATTTGATTTTAACTTGATAACATATGTATTGTGGACTTTGAATCTGCTCATAAATTTTTAAAATAGTTTAGTCTGTCCCCCTATTTTTATCTTGTTTTAGTGTTGTAAACTGTCATCATTACTAATAGTGAGGTTTATGTGGTCTTGGTTGGGATTTGGAGGTTTGTGGGACTCTTCTATTTAGGTTTCTCCCATTTGAACAGTAAGGACGTGGCACGATCACACATGGTTACAGACTTGAGACTGTATCTCCAGGAAGAAGTGCAGGGCTCATGCTTCAGCACGCACACACACACACACACACACACACACACCTTTGAAATGTAGTGTAAGCCCCAAGTGCAGTTCTGATAATTGAACTGCTCCAGTTACACATTGTAACTCTTTGAGGTTATGTGGTTTATTTCACATTGACATGATTTTATATCTGAAAATAATGTTTAATTTATAGTAGTGTCTAAATACTTTAATGTAGTATAAATATTTTAACGTTTTTACTCGGTTCATTTGCATTTGGCAGGAAAAATTGTTATGATTTAGCTCTGTTTACAGTTTTATATAAAATTTAAGATGAAATATTTAACTCATAAATACAAGCTTAAAATTTGTCTTAAAAACTGAGGGTAGTATTTGTACTTATATGAACTACCCAGGTAGTTCTCCATTTTTTTTATGTGTGTGACTGTACTGAAAAAAAAAAACAACTAAGTTTATATTCTAGATTTAAAGATAATGCATACATACTAAAGTGCTTAAGAGTTTAGAAACAAATTAACAAGAACTTTTTTGTTGGTCTTAAATTGTTATAGTTGTTATTTAATAAAATAGTGACAGAAAACGATGTTTTTGTTTTTCAAATTTTTATAGGGCCTCTGATTTCAAACAAAGATCTAAGAGTTTTATTTTAATATATTTTTCGTCTTGATACTCTCTTTGTAGGATAACTTCAAGCTAATGTGTACTAATGCAATGATTTACAACAAGCCAGAGACCATTTATTATAAAGCTGCAAAGAAACTATTGCACTCAGGGATGAAAATTCTTAGTCAGGTAAGAAACAATATCACAAATTAATGACTACTATAAAGTCTATATCTTTCCTAAAGTGATACTTTCCTCATTGGCAAATCATATTAAAGTAATCAGAACTTAGGAGAAAAGTTATATCAAGAAAAGATAGAAAGATGCTCAAATATAGTCTTTTTTTTTTTTTTAGACAGGGTTTCTCTGTGTAGCCCTGGCTGTCCTGAAACTCTCCCTCTGTAGACCAGACTGGCCTTGAACTCAGAAATCTGCCTGCCTGTCTCCAGATGCTGGGATTAAGGTGTGTACCATGACTGCCTAGCCAGCCATTTCTTTTTCAAAAGTTAAATTACTGCGTTTATGTATTTGTGCCACAGCATGCGTGTATAAGTCAGAGAGCAACTTGTGGGGAGTCAGTTATCTTCTGATATGTGGATCCTGAAGATTAAACTCAGTTTGTCAAGGTTGGTGGCAAGTGCCTAACCTTCTGAGACATTTCACAAGCCTTTTTTTTTTTTTTTTTTTTTTTTTTTTTTTTAAAAGACAAGGTTTCATGTAGCCAAGGCTAGCCTTGAATGAACCATTTGGCCAAGGAGAAGAGTCCTCCTACCTCCACCTCCTAAGTACTGAGATATAGTCATGTGCCACCACTCCCAATTTTATTTAGTGTTGGAATTCAAACCTGGGGCTTTGTGCATGTGTAGGCAAACACCCCTATCAACTGAGTTACATTCCCAGCCCCTCCTTGTAATTATTTCCCTAAAGGCTCCTGATAGACTTACTTTGCTGTGGGAGAAACAGCAGCTTGAATTTCAGAATAAAATTGGATGAAGTATGAGACCTTTTAGGAGAAAAGTGTTGTTTCCTTTAGTGATAAAATCTAGTGTTCTGATCAGCCCTGTGCTTTCTAGGGCTTGTAGTGATAAGAACAAAATGACATAAGAAATAACTTGAAATTTTTAAAGGCAACCTCTGTGCAAGAACAGTTTCTTGAAAGTTATAATCAATGCATAATAAAGATGTAAGGCATCATTCAGCTGCAGGAGAGAGTTGAAACTGCTGCACACAGACTGTGGCAACAAAGTATGTGAGTCTCGCCCATTTAAAAAAAGGTCTTAATCTGTGGTCTCCAAGTGACTTCTAGCATGGCTTTCCCAATTCCTGGTAAGAGCTAAAATAGGGAAGTGACTGGAAAAAATAGCCAGATATGGGGAGGAGTATACATAAAAGAACTGAGTTTCAGTGTGGCACAGATATGTATAGAAGGAGAAAGGAACCAGAATGAAGAGATGAAGCTCCAGCTTGGGGCAAGTAAAAGGTGGCAGAAATTAGCCACATGTATTCACTTAGGTTTTCTGAACTGGTCTGGTGATCACCTGTATTAAATTTCTACAGTAGAAGAAAGCTTTGGTGTACAGGTGTCTGGGTGTCTGTAATGCTTGGCTCTGAGAAATTATTGGATCAACTTACCTAGGAAAAGGAAAACATTTGAATTGGTGCTTATTGTTGCATTCCTAATATTTAGACAACTTCAGTTCCCACTCACCTATGTTATTTAGCACACTTTTAGGAGAATGTAAAATGTTTGTTTGATCCTTGCAGAAAGACTCAGAGTCTAGAATAAAATCATATTCTACTTTTGAAAACCCAGACCTGCTTGTTGTAAAAGTATATTGAGTAAATACAGTCTTCATTCACTCCAAAATCAGTATGAGAGTGGGGGGTGGGGAGGTGGGGTGCAAGTGTATGTTTTGTTGTTTCTTTTTATTTTCTGACAATATCTCACCATGTAGTTCTGGCTGTCCTGGAACTTTTTGTGTAGACCAGGGTGGCTTTGAACTCACAGAGATCTGCCTGCCTCTGCCTCCCAAATGCTGAGATCAAAGATAAGTACTACCACCCCTAGTGTGTAATGGATTTTCAAGGAAAAGTCTAGTGGTAATTTGTTTTGTTTTGTTCTTTTTGTCCTAATTTGCCACTATTTTCTCTAAATACTGGAATAAACATAACAAGCAAAAGATTTTAGTGTCTTCTAAAGTTTACTGGAAACAGGAAGATTAGCTTGTCTCCTTTCCCTTCTGTCTGTCTGCTTTTTAAAGATGTCTTGGCACTATAACCCTCCTGTGTTCTAGCCTCCTTTTTGACTTCCACTCTAGGTAGAAGGGGTCCTTACAGTGGTGATTTATAAATCTTTCAATTTAAACTTTCTGAGTTAACACTACTTAGTCTAGCAGTGTAGACTTCCAAGAAAGTCTACATGCCTTTCCACGAATGGTATCTTTTTCAGAGGCAGACCTTAATGAGTAATAAGTGAAAAAATAGTAAGAGTCGTCATTTTTTCCATTACACTCAATATTAGTACTTAGTACATGGGTTATTTTTATAAAGACTTGATGGCCAGTCATGGGGCTATCATCTCAACTCTTGGGAGATGAAAGTAGGAGGATTGGGAGTTTGCGGTCATTATGGGCTACACAGTGAGGTTCTTGTCTCTTAAAACAGCAAAGAAAGCAAAGAAAAGCTCATCATAAATACTTGAGTAGAATGCTACATTCTAGCAGTATTTGTAGTGCAGTGGCCCTGGAATCAGATTAATGATATGTCTAGTCCTACTGTTATATAACAGCTGGGTGACCTGGCTGTGCAGCCTCTCTCAGCATTCCTCCTGTAAGTAGGGGCAGTGCTTAACTCAGAATTGTCTGAGACAGAGGGAAGCATTCCATTAAGTGTCAGGACTCTTAAGGCAAATGGTGTCTTGAGCCCAGGATTTAATGAGTCTTATCTTGGAAAGAAAGGAGGCTATATTAAACAGCATGCCTATGTGAAGATATGAATTACAAAAAAAGAAAAAAGAATGCATTACTTTCAAAGTAAATTTAACCTTTTCCTGTGAGTTACAAATTTAGAAATTTTTTTATATTTTAGTATTATGTACATTATGTTTAAAAATATCCCTAAACACCTTTATTATAGTCTGTACTTTACAAAATAATGGAATAGAATTTTTAAAATTACTGAGAATTTTATAATCTGAGCCTATTTGTCTAGCTGTTTATAAAGTGGCTACAGTGTTAGCCTATTGCATTACTACAGATCCAGAGATAGACATAACCAAAGTTATGTATACAAAGAAAGGCATACTGAGTGGGATTTTTCGTTTTTGTTTTAACAATATGGTTCAGTTTGGCACTGATTCAGAGAAGGTGTCGAATACTAGTGCAAACTGATTAAATCTTCCCGGGAGAAAGTTTGGCAGTAAGTATCCCTTCACCCTCCACTGTAGGAATTTGCCCTGAAGGAATAAATAAGAGGCTTCTAGAGAGGTTTATTGACAGTATTTAGTGGAAATTTGAGTCTACTCATATACGTTGAGTTAAATAACTTATTTAATTATTTAGAATGCATTCTAAAGACTAATATGTAGGACAAATGCTTATAGTTTACTAATAAATAGTTTATTAATTTGCTTACCAAATGTTGAGTATATAGTTTGCTAAAAGTAAACCATACTCAGAAGAAAGAATTGAAATGATAACTACTGGTACTGCTGCTCTCTGGAAGATAGGGGACAAGTTTGTACTTGGCCTCTATTGAGTCTTCACTTATTTATAGTCTGATACATCACTTCATAATTTTATAATTCTTTAAAAGCTGTCTTAATTAGGGTTTCTATTGCTGTGGAGAGACACCATGACCACAGCAACTCTTATAAAGGAAAATATTAATTGGGGCTGGCTTATAGTTTAGAGATTCAGTCCGTTATCATTGTGGTTGGGGTGCATGGTGATATGTAAGCATGCATGCTGCTGATCTGGAACTACAGGCAGCAGGAAGAGACTGCTACGCTGGGTGTGGCTTGAGCATCTGAGACCTCAAAGCCCCACCTCCAGTGATACATTTCCTCCCAATACTACCATATTGGCCATATCTCCCAATACTACCCTCTGTTTGGGCCTATGGAGGCCATTTTTATTCAAACTACATTCTACTCCTTGGTCCTCATAGACTTGTAGCCATAATATAATGCAAAATGCATTTGTCCAACTTCAAAAGTCCTCATAATCTATAACAGTCTGAAACTTATTTAAAACTCCAAAGTCTCTTCTGAGATTCATGCAATCTCTTAACTGCAATCTCCTGTAAAATCAAAATGAAAAAACATCACATACCAACATATAGTGGCACAGGATATACATTACTGGTCCAAAAAGGAGGAAAGGAAACATAACTACTGGACCAGAGCAAGACAGAAAGCCAGCCTAGTAAACTCCAGACTCTGCACCTCCATGTGTGATGTCAAAGTGCTCTTCAGATCTCTAACTACTTTCAGCTTTGTTAACTACACATTTCTTTTTCTTGGTCTGGTTCTGCTATTAACAGCTCCCTGTTAGCAGCTCTCCTCAGCAGGTATCCCTAAGCTTCGGGGTCTCCAAGCCAATCCAGACTTCACCTCACAGCTTCACACAATGGCCTTTATGTGTCCATGTAGGGGTGCCCCTGATATGTGCCTGGTTCAGTGAGGGAGATTCTGTAACCCCTTTCTTCTATCCTAGATTCTAAAGCCTGAACCATGTGGCCAAAGCTGCCAGGTTCTGCTGCTTGCTAGGGCTAGATCATGGCCCCTTGTTCAATTCGATTTTCATCAGCTTTCTAATTTTGAAGGTTTCCTTTACTAAGCTTGGCTACCCTGGAACTTTCTGTGTAGACCAGGCTGGCCTCAACAGAGATTCTCCAGCCTCTGCTTCTGAGTACTGGGATTAAAGGCATGTGACCACCACCCCAGCCCTAAACTAAAGGTTGGAAGTTTAGCTGGATGGAATCTTGCCCTGAGGTTACCACTCTCTTTATTCCTCTTAACATCAGGATTTTCTTTAATCTGTTTATCTCCTTGAACACAGACTTTAGCTTCATTCCATTTTCTGGTGCTCCTTTTCATTATAAATCTTCAGAAGAGTGAACACTAATAACCACATGACAGTCAATACTAGGCTGTTATAAAGTTTCAATGCCATTAATTCAAAACACTTCAATTTAGCCTCTGGCAGACTTGTCGGACAAGGGCAAAATGCAGCCACATTCTTAGTCAAAAATACTATAAAAATGATATCCAGGCCACATACAAATATTCTTCTCTGAAACATGAGCCAGGCTCCCTCAGTTCAAATTACCCTCAGTACCACTGTGTTCTTTGTTCCTATAAGAATAGCCCATTAAGCTCCTCCTAAACTACTTTGCTTTTGTTTTTTTGTTTTTTGGTTTTTTTTTTGGGTTTTTTGGGGTTTTTTTTGTTTTGTTTGTTTGTTTGTTTGTTTGTTTGTTTTATTTTGTTTCGAGACATGATTCCTCTGTATTGCTCTGACTGTCCTGAGACTCACTTTGTAGACCAGGCTGGTCTCAAACTCAGAGATCTGCCTGCCTCTGCCTCCCAAGTGCTGGGATTAGAGGTGTACCCTACCATACCCATCTTCAACTGCTTTTCTAATTGAAAAAAAAAAAATCCATATTCCTCCAAACAAAAGCATGGTCAGACCTATCACATTAGTCCCTAGTCCCTGGTACCAACTTCTGTCTTAGTGTTTCTATGCTGTAGAGAGACACCATGACCACAGCAACTCTTATAAAGGAAAACATTAATTGGGACTGGCTTACAGTTCAAAGGCTATTACCATTGTGGTGGGAAGCGTGATGGCACACAGGCAGACATGGTGATGAAGAAGTCGCTGAGAGTTCTACATCTGGAACTACAGGCAAAGGAAGAGACTGCTATACTAGGCTGGCTTGAGTATTTGAGACCTTAAAGGCATCCTCAAGTGACACACTTCCTCCATCAAGGCCACACATGCCTATAGGCCTTTGGGAGCCATTTTTACTCAAACTACCACAAAGGCCAAGTAGGGGCTAAAGGCAGCTCAATGGGCTGAGTATTTTACAAAGCATATACATGAAGCCCTAGCTTCAGTTTCCAGTATGTACTGCATCAAAAGAAAGATGGTGGAGGCAGGAACATCAAGATCATCTTCAGCTACCTAATCAGTTAGGGGCCTCCCTGAACTATTTGAGACCATGTCTCAACACACAAAAATGTTCAGTAAAAACAACAGGAGTCATGCTCTTGAGTGTTGTCGTCTACACCACTCATGGGGAAATGAAAAGGCCTGGAGGGCAGGCATTATTTCTTTGGCCTTAAGGAATCCGGTCCTTTCCAGTCTCTTACTACAATGAAAGCTTCCTATGCTGATACAGTGCAGTTCTCAGAGGTTGTGCTTCTGGTTTATCTACTAGCAACTCTCAGTTAAAAGGCAGAGTGATCTGTGGAAACAAATTTGTCCTCCTTAAAATATGCCCAGAAACCTCAAACCCCTAATGAAATTTTTATAGCACATCATTGCAGTAGAAAATGGAGCATATACTTCACAACATAGCCAAGTTTTTTCTGTTTAGTAAGAACATTATGCACTGTGAAAAAGCAAGTATGCTAGCAACCACTTATTTTCCCCTAATGCATGTTTCCACTCAACCATATGCTAATCATGGTGATCACCATAGGATTCTGGAGTATAAAGATCCTTCAGGTGTTCCAGATTTTAAATCCTCAGTCATTCTTAATCTTCAGGAGATAAGCCCATCTGAATTCTCAGTCCCTGTTCACATTTTGTCCACTGTTAACTTTTTCATGGTACAGTATGGTTGTAAAGCCTCCGCTTACTTTGGAAATTAATAAGAGGTCTCAATAAGTGGACTTTACTGTCCTGGTTCCTTTGCTGCACTTAACACCTGCTTTTCGTCCCTCCTTATTAATAAGTGCAGGCTCTCATGGCAGGAAGTGCATTGTTCAGTGACAGCCATACATTTTTTTTTTTTAATACTTTGCAGGAGAGAATTCAGAGCCTGAAGCAGAGTATAGACTTCATGGCGGACTTGCAGAAAACTCGGAAGCAGAAAGATAGAACAGATGCCTCTCAGAGTGGGGAGGACAGTGGCTGCTGGCAACGAGAAAGGGAAGACTCTGGAGATGCTGAAACGCAAGCCTTCAGAAGCCCCACTAAGGACAATAAAAAGTAATGCATTTTGGAATATGGAGGTTGTGCTTTTTTTTTTTTTTTTTTTTTTTTTTTTTTTTAGTAAAAGGAATATTGATTCAAATTTGACTTGGGCAAACCAAGTCCCCATGCATCAGTGTTGCCTTTCTTGACATAAAATCTGTTTTAATAGTATGATTTCCTTCTTGTCATACAGAGTACTGTGAAAAATTGGCCAAACAGCTCACAGAACAGTTCCAAATAGATACTTTTATTAGTTGTAAGACAGCAAATTAAGGAGTTACAGCATCAGAGTTTATTTCAATAGAACTGTTGTATAGCTATAGCATCATTCCATAAAGATCTAGGGATTCCTAAGTACATGGGCTGGCTCTGAGGTGTGCATGTTTTCCATTGAAGAACTGCTGGTCCTGGTGTCTGGGCAGGCCTCTGGCATAGCCTGTGCAACTCACTTGTACCACGGATTACCCAGCACCTCACTGCCACCCATACAGAAAATTAGAATTAACAGTTGGTTTTTCTGTGCTCATAATGCAAAAAAAAAAAAAAAAAAAAAAAAAAAATTATTTATATAGTTTCTCTTCAAAATAATATCTGAATTAAAATTTATTTTCATGACCAATGGGGGCATGTGTATAATACAAGTAACACTAGAGCCCTTTACCAGGTTTCTGGGGAGTGATGTTTTAAATTGGTTACTGTGGAACAAGTTTGTCCACTTACTATATTCAGCTTTAGGGTGCCTTTTAATGTTTTTCATCTTACTTATTTAGACACTTTTTAACTTTGTGTTAATATGTGTCTCAGGAAAGACAAAGATATGCTTGATGACAAATGGAGAAGCAGCAACTCTGAAAGGGAGCATGAGCAGATTGAGCGCGTTGTCCAGGAATCAGGGGGCAAGCTGACGAGGCGGCTGGCAAATAGTCAGGTAATGTGACTACCCTATTCCCTATTGCTACGGTTTTTTCAGAGAGAGCAAAAATAACATTCTTTATTTTGTTTTTTGAGGTAGGACATCACTATGTAGCCCAGACTGGCCTTGAAGTCATGATCTTACTGTTTCAACCTCAAAATGCTGGAACTGCAGGTGGGCACTACCATGCCTGGCAGCAGACTTTGACAACTTACATTTTGGTCTTTTGAACTACCTATTGATTACATTGGTTTTATGACCAAGTAGAGTTGTACATGACTTTGGGTGCATTTCCTGCCCTCTCCCGAACCTCAGCCCCCAGCAGTCTGTAAGTCTGTGGGAGTTCTGATAGTTTTTTGTTTTTTTAATAGTTTGGGAGAACTAATGACCCACACCGCTTTTCAAATAAGCTTTCTTTATCTTCCATTTCTGTAGCCCATCAGTACCTGTAGACACAGATGGCTATGAAAGTCAGTGTTCTGAATTTAGTGATAGCCCATGATATTCATTTGATGGCTGTGTCCTATATATATAGACTGTGTTAAACTTTATTCTACCTGATAACTTCGGTCATTTCAGTGTGAATTTGAAAGAAGAAAACCAGATGGAACAACAACATTGGGACTTCTCCATCCTGTTGAGCCCATTATAGGAGGTAGGATCACAGTTTAAGACTCTGTGTGAGCCTGGTACTATCTTCTAAGGACAGTAAACTCATGTGTTAGTCTGACAGAATATCTGCTAAACAGCTCACAGGAAAAAGGACATATTACTTGGGTTCTGTCCATAGTTCTTGGTCCCATTGATTCTGAGCTACTGAGGTAGGTAGAACAAGTGGTTGGTTGGAGCATGCAGTGATAAATCCAACTGTTAGCCACAGAATTTGTTTGGGTGCTATGTGTTTTCATGGACAACTAGCTTAGCTTCTACTTCTGTTAATTTGTTTATTGAATAATGTATTTTCACACTGTCATGAGAAACATAGTAGGAAAGTAGAAATGGGTAATAATAGAATTCCTACATTTAGGAAGTAATGTCACGGTCTTTGGAGCCCAGGATAAGTTAAACAAGGTGTACAAAGGGAGCAAATGAACTGGGTCCCTTACTTAACACCCTGTAGAGTAGGGTAGTAAGAACAAATGAAACATCACAGAAAGACATGTCTGCCAGGACTTGAGTACTCATTAAATACCTATCTTCAATCATAAGTGTCCCAGAGGACTAGTTTAGCCATAATTGTAGCTAAGGGTGTGGCTTCCTAACATTTAAGGGCTTCCTTAAGGAAATGATTCTTTAAGGTTGATTCCTTAAGTGAGTTAAGTGATCAGGGAATAGCAGTGGGACCCCTGGCAAGTGGGAAACCTGGAAACAAAGGAAGAGCTTGATGCATTAGGAGACTTAACAGGTGAGCCTACATTCAATCACCAGTAGTAATAGGACTAGCTCAGTTGATAGACTGCTTGCCTGGCATGAGCAAAACCATGCTCAGCACTGTAGAAACTGGATGTGGTGGCAGATGTATCTAATTCCAGCATGTAAAATGTGGAAACAGAAAATCAAGAATCTAAGGTCATCCTTGGCTCCACAGCAAGTTCAAGGCCAGCCTGGTCTACATGAGATCCTCTCTCAAAAAGCCCCAGTTTTCTTACTGTTTGATTATAGGTGCATAACAGTCTGTCCAGGGAACTATTTTAATAACAATCTTACTTTGAGATGAAATGTAACATGATGATAGGAAATACCATATAATGGAGTATAATGAAGAGGACCAAGTTTATGGTTCAAATTAGCTTAGAAATGGATAGAATAAAATCTGCCGACCTCTTTCATATAGCATTAATAACATCTCTATGGATCACTACCATGTGTGCCTCTTTCACTGTGGTGGGTTTTCTGTTCTAGAACCAGGCTACTGCCCTGTAAGGCTGGGAATGACGACCGGAAGACTACAGTCTGGAGTGAACACCCTGCAAGGGTTCAAAGAAGATAAAAGGAACAGAGTAACTCCAGGTGAGGGTCCTACCTGTTTCGGGGAGTTGGGAAAAGAAAGTGCAAAGTTTTATTTATTTTTTTATTTTTATGTTTTGGGGTTTTTTGAGACAAGGTTTCTCTGTAATAGCCCTTAATGTCCTGGAACTCTCTGTAGACCAGGCTGGCCTTGAACTCACAGAGATCCATCTGCCTTTGCCTCCTGAGTGCTAGGATAAAGGGCATGCACCACCACCACATAGCTTCATTCATTGGCTTTCTTGATGGTATTTTTGCCATCCCTTTTTTGTGGTAAAACTCATTTATGTTGATGCACTGTGGTGCAGGTGGCCCTCTATATCCAACTTACCAGTTGAAATAGGGCAGAATGACACTGACTATCCTTATCTCAAACAATACAGTATAACAGTTACTTATATCACACAGGATTCTTCGAGTTGCCTAGATATGATTTGATGTGTAATGGAGGACATGTATGAGCTCCAAGCAAATGTATCTGTGGGGATACAGTCAGTCCCCAAGTATTCTGAGGAATAACTGTACCTGTTGGGAGTGTCTATTATCTTTTAATAAAACTAAAAGGTATATTAACAATCTTAAATGATACTATAGTTTTCATTTTTTTAACAGTGTTATACTTGAATTATGGACCTTATAGTTCTTATGCCCCACATTATGACTCTACATTTGCCAATATCAGCAAAGATGATTCTGATTTAATCTATTCAACATATGGGGAAGACTCTGACCTTCCAAACAATTTCAGGTAAGCCACCAGTTAGTACTCTGAACATTTTTTTTTCTAAAATATTAATGTATCATGTGTGATTTGTAGATCCAAGTTATCCAAGTTACAGAAAATGTGTTCAGTATTTTTTTAGCGAGAACAAACATATCTTCTTGATACTGGCCTTTGTAGTATTTTCTAGTAGAAATATCTTTTCTTTGTAGATGTAGTAGTAGTAGAAATTATCACTATTATTATACATATGAGTGTTTTGCCTACAGGTATGTATATGCCCCACATATTCACCAGCCTGGTACTAGAGTTGGTTAGAAGAGGTTATCAGGCCAGGTAATGGTGGTGCATACCTTTATTCCCAGAACTGGAAAGCAGAAGCAGGTGGATCTCTGTGAGTTCAAGGCCAGCCTGGTCTACAGAGTGAGTTCTAGGACAGCTACAACTACACAGAGAAACCCAGTTTCAAAAAACCAAAAAAAAAAAAAAAAAGAAGAAGAAGAAGAGGGTATGGGATCCTTTGGAACTGGAATTACAGACAGTTGTCAGCTGCTGAGTGGGTCAAATTCAGGTTCTCTGCAGTAGCTGAAGCAAGTGCTCTTAACTACTGAGCCAGTTCTCCAATCTCAGACATACCATTTTGATTTGGTTTGGCTTGTCTTTTGGTTTTCCAAGACAGGTCTTCTCTGTGTTACTTTGACTGTCCTGGAACTCATTCTATAGACCAGGCTGGTCTCGAACTCAGATTTCTGCCTGCCTCTGCCTCCTGAGTACTGGACTTAAAGGTATGCTCCACCACTAGCTGGCTACAGAAATACTTTTTTAAATGTTCCTGATACTCAAGTTTGGGAGCTTCTTAGGTCAAAACCTGTTCTGCTATAAAAACTTTATGTGTCAGTCATGTTTCAGACTTGATGAGTTTAAGAATCCACAAAGCATTTTCCCTAAGCCATGAAGGACATGCGGGACAGCTTGACTATCATGTGCCAACCAAACCTTTGTAGTTATTCCCAGTCTGTATTCCTCTTCAGAATGCTGAGTACTTATTTTCTGCTCAGTTTAATGAGATGCTGTCCCAGTTTACCAGGATTCTGGCTCAGGATGGAACAATAAACCTGAATTTTCTCTTCTTAGCACTGGTGCCTTTGTAACTTTTATTATGTTCACGAATTTAATCCAGTAGATTAACTAGTCTCCTGGTTTGAGGAATTTGTTGTTTTGGGTTTTGTTCATTTATATTGGGATAGGGGTGTTCAGCTCTGATCATGTATATGTTAGTATATGTGTTTGTGTTATGTTTCCTAAATTAAGAGACTGTCTGTGGTTTCAGACTGAGCAGTTCTTATCCTGAGACTGCACCAGATGGGACATGTGTGTTCTAGATTACTCATCAAGGCAATCCACAAATTAGCAGTGTGTTCCCACTATGTGCCAGACATTCTTGCAGACACTGAGGATTCCATACAGAACCGTGCCCTCCTTCAGATAGTGACTGAGTTCTGGATCAAGACAGGGTGGCCCAAGCAGAAGTAATGCTGGGAAAGTGACATGACAGGAGAGGGAACCAACTGACAGTGCTCCTCTCTGAAAGAAGGGCACTGCCTCTGAAGTAGCTAAGCCAGGGACCTCAACTGAGAGTTTGCCTGACCCAGCCGAGAGTATCAAGAAGAGCTGGAAGGAGCAGAACAGGTGGAAGGGAAACAGTGGTCACAAAGGTCACTGAGGGAGATTGCTATAAGGACTTGGTGTTCTCAGTGAATGAGGAGCTGGTTAGTGACACAGTAATGTTCTGATCTGACTTGTGATTCTGAAGGGACTACTTGGGCAACTATACAAAGCGTGGTCTACAAGGGCAGAAATCAGGACATGTTCAATAGACCAGGGAACAACCATGATAGTGTTGAGGGTTAGTGATTAGTAGGTTGCTGGTTCTTAACTGGAGGGTAAGAGAAGTTGAGATATTAGGGTTTTCAGACTTGCAGTTTACTAAAAGAGGGGTGATGTTAGAGCACCACTTTGGAGTAATTTATTAAGCTTGTGATACTTACTCATGCAAACAAAGGTGTGATTTTTGAGGTTTTAGTACCTGAGTTGAATAAGGTTACTAAGGGGAACTAGCAAGAAGCCCCAAGACTTCCTGAAGCCCCATCTTTGACATCTTTGTTTTCTTCGAGGATTCTCAGGAACATTTTACTTTGGCTACATGTATAAATATGAATGTGTATGAGAGAGTGTGTGTGTGTGTGAGTGTGTGTGTGTGAATTCTTTCATGATAAATTAATCACTGGTAAGTATGTAGGTATAATGTTGTTTGTAAACAGAACATTTTATAGTTATACAAACCAAGGGCATCTAATGGGAAGAGTTGGCTGTAGTAAGGGGTAAGCCATGGAGACTATTTCTATAGAAGTGATTTTCTTAACTCTTTTTTCAGCATCTCTGAGTTTTTGGCCACATGCCAAGATTACCCGTATGTTATGGCAGATAGTTTACTGGATGTTCTAACAAAAGGAGGACATTCCAGGAGCCTACAGGACTTGGATGTGGTAAGCAAGCTGCTAAAGAAGCAGGCTGTTTATAAATGAAGCCCTAGACATTCAATGCATTCAATGTTATGAGACCAGGGATTAACCAGTGTGACAGCTGAACTCCATTCCCCTGAAAGGACAGCCTGCCATGGGTGGAAGACAATGAACAGACAGGAATAAGTCAGCTACCAGGATCCGGGAGAGCTAGAACATAGACATGTTATACTGATTTTGGTAAGACACAGGAGTTCAGAAGTCAGCAGGTGCTGAGGAGCCTAATGAAATGAATAGGAGTCCTGCTCCTGAGTGGGACCTAAGCTGGCTGGCAGGATGGGGAGTACGCTTTTCCTTGTGCAGTGATAGCACCACACTAGGAGCCTCAGACAGGAACACCGTCCCCACTGATTCTTCTGTCAACACTTGTGAACTCTAGAGTTCAAGACAGTTTGTAACTGGAATCATTCATTCCTGACTCAGACTAGAACCAGGAAACATTCCCATTGATGTCTAGAATGTTCTGGTCACCAAGTTAGAGGAGTCTAGGAAGCCATCATGTTTGAAATTTTATTTTTATTTTAACTTATTTTAAATTTATTTTTTATGTGTATGACAGTTTTAATGCACGCATGTTTATAGTACCACATGCATGTCTGTCAGAGCTCCTGGAACTAGAGTGATAAATATGGAGTCTCAGATTTTTGTGAGCTGCCTCTTGAGTGCTGGCCAGCAGAACCAGACCCTCTGCAATAACAAGTACTCTTAGCCTTGGAAGTGGTAACCCTCAAGGTGGCAAAGACCTCTCACTACAACTGCGCAAATGGTGATGGTTCCTTAGGTGACTTAGCAAGTAGAGTCAGTGCCTCAAATTCAGTGGCTTCTGCTGCAAAATCCTTCCACATGTACTACTTTCCTTATTGAAGCTAAAAGATACCTTTTCATCTGTTCAAAAATAAATGTTCTTACTCCTTTCCCTCAGCTAATTAGAAATAGTAGTTACCTTAAATCAGATTGCTTTGATTTAGTGGCTATAATAATATATTTGAAATTTTCTGCCTTTTAATCCAGCGGTTTCTCTTCACAGAATTTATGCAACAAAGTAAAACCAGGGTTACACATATCAAGGACAGACATATGGCCTATAATTTTTAGAAATTGGAAATGGGCTAAATAAGAGTATAAACCTTCAAAAAAAAGATAGCACTTTTATTGATGTCCATGATATGTTTTTTTTTTGTTTGTTTGTTTTTATTTTTGTTTTTTTCAGAGACAGAATTCTTTGTATATCGCCTCACTATCCTGGAACTAGCTCTGTAGACAAAGCTGGCCTCAAACTCACAGAGATCCACCTGCCTCTACCTCCCAAGTACTGGGATTAAAGGTATACATCACCACACCCAGCTAGATGTGTTTCTTTTTTCTGTTCCTTTTTATGTGTGAATTACACTAATGTGCATATAATCATGGGGGATAATCTACATTCTGAGGCATTTGTATGTTTTATAGTAACCTCTACTATTAGAATATTGGTTCTTTAATGCCTATTAGTCTCTAAAGCTTCTTCCTATCTCTCCTTGTCAAAGACTCTATATATTTAGGTATTTATTTAACAAGCATATTCTTAATTTTTTGAGGCAGGATCTGTGCAGCCCAACCTAGCCTCAGACTCATGGCACTTCTGCCTCAGTCTCCAATTGCTAGTTTATATGCATGGATCTTAGCATCATTAGCAACTCACAAAGACTCAGAATGCTAATAATTATATTAATTAATTTTGGTTTAAAAAATATATTCTTGGGGGTGGAGAGATGGCTCAATGGTTAAGAGCACTGACTGCTCTTCCAGGTTCAATTCCCAGCACCCATGGCAGCTCACAACTCTGTAACTCCAGCTCCAGTTCACTGACATACATGCAGGCAAAACAACAGTGCACATAAAATTAAATCATTTAAAGTACATATATATACATTCTTATAATCCACATACTTTTCTCTTGCCACACTTTAAGTTTTCTACTTACCTTGATATTTGCATTTACTGCTTTCATCAAAGTTTTTCCTTTATCTGTACAGTTATCACCTGAAGATGAAGACCAGACCAGAGCACTGGACACAGCAAGAGAAGCAGAGGTGCTCACATTTTATTCCTTAAATGGAGAATAAGTTAGAGACCTAAATGATTAGGCTTTATTTACTTTAAGATAATAGTATTAATTGAGGTTCAGTGGGTAAAATGTTTGTCACATAAGCTTACAGATAAAATGCAATCCTTGGAATCTATATAAAGGTAGAAGAAGAGAAATAACTCCACAAAAGTTCTCTTCTGACTTCCAGAATACTATTGTGTGTCATGGCATGGTACCCCCACACACACACATTTATGTGTTAATTGTGTATCATCTGGAGTAAAAGAAGTAGCTTATGTCATAGACAAGCATTTAAAGAAGAGAGCCCAAAGCCATTAAACCACAGTGTAATTGCCCCAGCATGCACCCTCAAGGTTGGAGAACACATTGCTCTCAAGAGCAAGAACAAGGCTGGAAGATGAAGAGGCATTCATTCTCCTAGCATACAAGACACATGCTCAGTGAGCTCAGAAGGCAAATGACTCAGGGTTCCCAAGACAGGTAGTGAGACTGTGTAAGTGCCAACCCATGATAAATTCCTTGTACAGTGCAGAAAAGCTGAGATTTTTCTCCTGGAAGGTAAAAGGTGGGCTACTATGATACATTATGAAGAGAGGGACCATTAAGAATCCATGGGACTTGCTGGGCATAGTGATGTACACCTTTAATGCCAGCACTCAGGAGGCAAAGGCAAGTGGATATCTGTATTCAAGGCCAGCCTGGTCTACATAGTAAGTTTTAGGGCTACAGAGCTATGTAGAGAGACCCTGGTTTTTTGTTTGGTGGGATTTGTCTTAAGCCAAAAGTAACTTTACCCTATCAACATAAAGGAAGAGAATCTGAACTTGGGAAATACACCAAAAGATTATATAAAAGAGAGACATAATAAAAAAAAAATTGACAAGATCTGGTGGGTGAGATAGGTGGTTATTAGCTCATATAGGATGTTTGGGGAAAAGGACCTTTGAGAGAAAAATTCAGAAAGTTTGTTTTGACAGATGTGTTTGGGACATTGTTTGAGGTATTGTCCTGGAAGTCCAAAGTCCGGGCTGTGCTGTGACTCTGACAGATGTAATTCAAAATTAATTTTATTCTATCCATACAAGTAAGACTCTTCAGGGGGAGCATGGAAAAGGTTGAAGGATAGAACTTTGGAGAAGTCCAAAGTTGAATAATGTATGAGTCCCATGAAAGGGTGGTTAGCAGAAATGGAGTAGATTCAGCAAGGTTGAAAGCTGTAGATAAGCCCAGTGAGAAGCCCTTGCAAATATCATTCATAACCTTGATCACAGCATCTTAATAAAATAAATAGAGGCAAAGAGTAGACCTCACTAGGTCATACCTTGAGGACACTGAGCTATATAGGGTTGTTTTAAGATTGGACAGACTCAAACCAAGCTTTAACTGGAGGGAGGAAAAATTGTGATGTGAGGTCCAGATAAAATAGCTAGTACTTAGGTAAACCATGCCGTCTTCAGGGAAAGAGAATCCAACAAGGTCTTATGTTTAGTGAAAGAACAGGAAAGACGGTGGAATAGAGTTATATGGGTCTGGCTGAAATAGCCAATCATGGTTATATGCTTTTTCTGCACTGCACACTCCAGCCTATGTGTGGGCAGCAGGTAGTCAGATTGGAGTACAGTTAGCACTCAAGTAAAAAATGGAACCATTCTTTAAAAGTTGTGGTGAAGCTATGGAAATTCTGAGTCTTAGATTCCAAAACTTCAAATCTACTCTTAAGACTTTCTTCTCTCATGCAATACTAATCACCTAGCTTTGGAGCTTGAGGACGACCCAGGGAGCTGCCAAAGCTGTATATAGATCTGTAGAAATGCAAATGTCAAGTGTGGAGTGGCTGGGCTGAAACCTTTGAAGCAGGCATTACCATGGTCACCAAAAGCATTTAACAGTTTAGACAGTGACAGGCTCTTAGTACTTTGTTGTCAAATGTTGACACGAATCAAATGGTGCAGATTGCATAAGCTGTCATGTCACTACAGAGAAGTGTGGATTTATGGACACTTTTTTGGCCAGGATTTGAGAACAACAGTTTTAAAAGAGTTCTTGGAAGACATAATCAAAATTATGACTATAAGGTGACTAGGTGGAGTAACTTTGCTCGTAAGCACAAGCCGTCATACTGATTTTTCCTTGGCACTGTCATGGTTTAGCAAACTCAAATTAACTTTTTTTTTCCCTGTTGAAGCAGATTACACAGATAGAGCCAACAGGGCGTTTGGAGTCCAGCAGTCAGGACAGGCTCACAGCACTGCAAGCAGTGACAAACTTTGGTGCTCCGACTGAAGTCTTTGACTCTGAAGGTGGGTGTCTGGGACCACAGGTTGCTGGAATATGTCCAGCACAGGCAGTTAGACTTTTTGCCTAATGCTAACTGCAGGAAAATCTTGGCCAACTGAGTTTAGAGACTAGTAGAGCATAACTATACTGTTGGTCTCAATTGGAATAGAAGCTCACCATAGCAGAGCCTGGGACCACAGATTAAACACAGGCTGCCTTTGTTTTCTTCAGTGTTGTCTTCTCACCACACAGAAGCTGAAGTGTTCCAGAGGAAGCTTGATGAGACTACAAGATTGCTCAGGGAACTCCAGGAGGCACAGAATGAACGGCTGAGTACCAGGCCTCCTCCCAATATGATCTGTCTCTTGGGTCCATCTTACAGAGAAATGTACCTTGGTATGTTTGTCCCAGTGATGGGAAGTAGGGCAGGGCTGGGTACATGAAATGAAGGCTTCCAGCAAGTGGCAGTACTGGAAAGTAGCTACATGCATGTAGTATTTCTGCACTTATACATTTTCAATTCTTTAGGTTTTGTTTTTGTTTTTGTTTTTTTGTTTTGGTTTTTTTTTTTTTTTTTAATTACCAGAGATTAGGTAGATGGCTCAGTTGGCAAAGTGTTTGCCACAAAAACATGAGGACCTGAATTCAGATCCCAGCATGTGAAAGTGCAGTGGCATGCATCTCCAGCCTTAGTGAGAGGGTGGAGCTCACGAGCCAGTCTAGCCAAGTCAGTGAAAGACCCTTTCTCAAACAGTAAGATGGACAGTAACTGAAGAAGAGAACTCACATTGACTTGACTTTTAGCATGCACACATCTACCCCTTTGGGGCTGAGGCAGGAGGATTTCTGTGAACCCAAGGCCAGCAAGGGATACATAGCAAGACTCTTAAAAATGTCTAAAGGGCCAGGTGGTGGTGGCGCATGTCTTTAATCCCAGCACTCAGGAAGCAGAGGCAAGAGGATCTCATTGAGTTTGAGGCCAGCCTGGTCTATTGAGCCAGGGCTACACAGAGAATCTCTGGGTGGGGAAGCTAAAGGTCTAAAGCTTTTTTCCCCCAATTTTTCTTAGCTGAACAAGTGACCAATAACCTTAAAGAACTCACACAGCAAGTGACTCCAGGTGACGTTGTGAGCATACATGGAGTGCGTAAAGCAATGGGGATCTCTGTTCCTTCCCCCATCATGGGAAACAGCTTTGTAGATTTGACAGAAGGTAGGTGCCCTATTTCTGTGAGTGGGAGATGTTTTGTGAATAAAAGGAAAGTCAGCCCTTTTTCCCTTAAGATGACTTAAGAACCCTCATCTGGACAGAATGACAGAATGCTGAGTGCCTTCTTCTCCTTCAGAGTATGAAGAACCTAAAGAGACCTGTGCTGCCGAGTGTGGGCCTGACAGAAGCTGAAGATGGCCTGGTATTGATTACATTGTGTACATACTTTTTCATTCTGAACCTGGAGGTGCTTTTCAGAAGATATTAACTATTTGTAAATTGTGTTTTAATTAAGCTTTGGAACAGTTCCTTTCAATGTTCCAAAGATTGGACTTGTATTAGGAAATAAAGCTAAACCTGGACTGTGAGGCTTGCCGGTGTATCAGCTGAATTGCCCCTTGACTTGGTCTGACTTGGTCCGAGGATAGGCACCTGGAACAACACTAGCCGTTTTCATAGTCATCTTTCAAAGGGTCAGGTCCTCAAAATAAATTAATCCCCATTTTTCACATTGCAAGCAGGTAGTTTTAAGATCTGCCTTACCAGAGCTCATCTGAATAACATGAAAAAAGTAGTCTTGTGAGCAGGCTGTCCTGGTGGCCTTGCAGACTACCACTATTGTATTTAACTAACAAACCCCAGATTTTTTGTTGTTGTCATTATCATTGTTATTGTTGGATGTACTTGTGTATACATGGGTACAAGAATGCATGCCATATTGCTTGTATAGAGGTCAGAGGACAATTTTTGGGAGTTGATTATCTGCTTCCATTGTGGATACCATGGAGTAAACTTAGGTCACCACACTTGTTAGAAAATGCCTTTTTACTCACTGAACCTTCTCACTGGCCCAGGACCCAGCTTTTTAAACATAGCTCTGTCAAGCAAGATTTTCTAGCATCACAACGTGAAAGGGAACACACTCAAGATAATGTTAAGGTTTCCTGGTGGAATGTTATTCTCATTTATGATTATCAGGTGCTACATCTGCCCCCAACATACAACATACAAAAAAAAGTGGGCTAGGAAATTTCATGGTAATAAAACATGTCTAGTGTGGTTTTGGTTTTTTTTTTTTTTTTTTTTTTTTTTTTGTCGTTGTTTGGACCTGTAGCAAAAGGACACAAAAAAAGATAAACCTAATCATCCATAGCCACATTAGAGTCGAGAGCTTGCCTTTGCTGTTTTTCCAAGGCCACCTGTTTCATCTGTGTCCCAGAATCATTTCCCTTTATCAGAAATACAGAGGTCAAATGGCCAAGCAGATTAAGTAGGAAACCATCAGATATGTCCCCTTCTATCACATGTCACTGGGCTGAGATGAATGATGGTTTTTCTAAATCTGGATCAAGATATAACTTATTTGAAAAGCAAGCTGGGTATGGTAGCTCACACTTACAGTACTTGGGAGGCTAAGACAAGAGAATTGCCATGAATTTAAGTCCAGCTGGGCTATATAATGACAACCTGCCTCAAAAAAGGGGTTGGGGGATGGGGGCACTGGAGAGATGGTTCAGCACTGGCTGTTCTTCCAGGGGACCTGGCACCCTCACAGACATATACATTATATATATATATAATTATTATTAAGCCAGAATAAGGGCAGTAAAGATAAGTTGATTCTCTCAAGAAATTATAAGAGCCAGGCATGGTGGGCACACGCCTTTAATCCTAGCATGTGGAAGATAGAGGCAGGCAGATCTCAATGAGTTCAAGGCCAGCCTGGTCTACAAACCAAGTTCCAGGACAGCCAGGGCAATACAGAAACTCTTCTCTAGGAAAGGGAAGGAAGGAGAGAGAGAGAGAAATTATCATGTGACTCTTTTTTGTAGACCATTATGTTAATAGAATAGAAAAATCAAGTGTGCTTCTATCAAGTCTTTTTAGATTTCTGGTTTTAGTCTCTTAAGAGTTTAGGGGCTAAAGGGTATAGGTCTATTCGTGGGGTGTTTGAGGGCTAGTCTTTGTGAGGCCTGGAGTCTGATCCTAAGAACCACTTAAATTGGCCACAAAGAGCTGCAAGTGGAGGGCGGCTCTGATTAAAATGTTTGTGCAAGCTTGACAGCCTGGGTTTGGACTCCCAGAACCCAAGTGAAAAGCTAGATGCAGTGGTGTGTGTGTCTACAGTCTACACTCCTATAGGATGATGGGAGGCAGGGACCAAGGACCCCTGGACACTCATAGGGCAGCTAGCAGAAAAAAACCCTGTCTCAAGGTAGAAGGTGATACCAAGGTTGTCTTCTGATTTCCAAAGACGCATATGCACTCGTGCGCGCGCGCGCACACACACACACACACACACACACACACACACACACAAAGGATCTGGCTGTAGTGGCACATGTCTATAATCCCAGCACTCTAGGAGTAGACACAGGAAGATTAGGAGTTGAAGGTTTGAGGACAGCCTGAGCTATATGAAACCTTGCCTCAAGTATATATTTCACCATAATTCACCAGTAGATCTATTTGCCACAAGCCAATTCCTGAAGACCCAGAAATACTTTAATTCAAAACACCTTAGGACATTCAGGGTTTTTAATTGTTGATTGAACATATAAAAAGGAGCCAGGCATTGGTTTATGAAAATAAAACAAAACACTGAGACGGGTGTTATGGAGCTATAAATATTAAACACAGAACAAACCATAGTTGCTTGTTTCACCTGCTCCAAGCATTGGCCTGTTCTCCATGAAGAACACAATAATAATCATCTTTTGTTGGGAAGGGTATTACTTTCTGTAGTCAGTAAGGGCCACCTTAGTAGGGAGTCTGAAATGAGTCCTTGACCCATAGAAGGCTTTGGGTTTTGTTTTTTTGTTTGTTTGTTTGTTTTTAAGTTCCTATGATAAAACAAGACACTTGTAAAGAAATTACTTGGAAATTCAAAAACAATTATGTGTATAACTCCCAAGTGATTTTTTTTTTTTTTTTTTTTTTTTTTTTGTCAGTTACACTCTTATGGCCTGAACAATAACTTAAAAACACTAGCACAGTGCTTCAGTTGAAAATAAACAATGTGTGAGCAGTAGCCAATTATTTTTAAACTCGGGCTAGAATTTTTGTTGCTAGAGGGAAAAAATAACTTGGATGTTGGAAGAGTAGGAGTGTGTATTCCTGCTCTGTGTAGACTGCATCCTAACCCCAAGGGAGCCTGCTGGGAAGCCTTGGCCACTGCTAGATTCCTTTGTGCAGACTGGAGTCAGCCCCTCTTCCCAGGGTGGGCTGATAAGCCCCGCAGAACACTGTGCTGGCAGAGAAGTCCTGTCCCTCCCCTCTGCATTCCTGATCACTCATCCTTGGACTGAAGTCTCAGGTAAGCCTGACTGGTAACCCTGCTGCAGTACACACAGCATTTGTAGACTCCTGTGAGCATGATTTTCTGTACTTTCGGAGGTTCCCTGATGACTTCTAAGAATACCATGATATAGTAAAGTCAGTCCCAAAAAGGAGTGGTCTGGGGCTAAAGCACAGCAAGACACCATCACACAAAGCTAACTCGTGAGTGAGAACAACTTGGCGATTTTACAGGTCAGGGACCCTCAGTACGTGTTCCTGCCAGGTAGATGGATGGTCCTTGCAGCTCTGCCTCAGAAGACTGGAGAAAGGGCAGGAGGTACACAGATTGTCCAAGCCCTCTCTACATAGGCTTTCCCATGGGGGTGAGGGGGACTGACCATGGTAGTGCACATCTGTATTCGAACCACTGAGGAAGCTGAAGCAGGAGAGATAAAGTTTGGGGGCCTAGGCTGACTCTGTCTCCAAAAAAATAAAGTGCAGACAGAAGAACTGAAGCACCATGCCTCATTTCTAGACTTCCAGTTTCCTGAACTTGTCCCAAAAAACTTAGTCAAAATGCTTGATGGAGATCCAAGGCTTTGTCGCTCCTTGCCTCTTGCTGTGAGCCTCAAAACTCTGTCCCTGCAGTCAAGCTAATCCTAACACTGGACAGCAGTCCAATTTACATGTAGTCTGTGGTTAAGAAGAGAGGATATACTGGAAAGAAGATCTTTGTCTAGCATCTAAGAGTTGGTAGTAAAACTCCCATTTCAAACATAAGCCAGAGATGGTAAAAAGTGACATGTCAATTAGAAATTTTTCTCTACTGTTTGAGATTACCTGCCAATATGCACACTGTTTGGAACTCCATTTGCCAGAATGCTGCCTGCATGAGAGATTGGCATCCCATGGCAGGTACTGATGGGAAGAGGAAGGTTTCAACCCATGCTAGACAACTTGGTTGAACCTCCTGGAACCAGGAGAGAGTTTGTCGCCCTGTGTATGCTATTCACTGCCTACCAGGGCAGGTGTCAGTCTTGATCACACACTAAGGTCTCTTCCCCCACACTCTGGGAACACACAGCCCATAGTAGACCAGTGATCTAGCCAACCAGGAACTGCACAGGCTGAAACACAGAGGTCCTGTGGACAACTTAGTAGCTGCTTCAAACAGAATCTGATGCACCTGTCAAAGCCATCCACACAGCCATCTGCAACTGGCATGGGCTGCATTCTTGGCTCCCTCAGGAAAGAAGACTGACTACCAGACACTTCAGTTCAGCCCCAGCCCTTGAAACTTGGCAGTGTCTGTACACACAAAGTAAGTCCGCAGCTCGCCTTTGCCTTTGACGTTGATCAGCCCTCGGCACTCACAAGAATATCCTAGTCCCTGGAGGATGGTGCACGTCTCTTCTGTAACCTAAAATGAGAAAGAGCAGTGTGTCTGTTGTCTGTTCCTAACTGATGGCCAGAGCCACACAGCCAAGTGATAGAAGGGCCAAGTTCCAGAGTGGGATACCTCCTCAGGGCATAACTTTTCCCCAAGTCGATTCCCCCCAGTGGACTTTTACCTGGATTTTCCCAAGCTCCCCGGTGCTCTCCATTCGGCTGGCAACATTGACTGTGTTTCCCCAGATGTCATACTGAGGCTTGCGTGCTCCAATCACTCCAGCAATCACAGGTCCATGGTTTATGCCTTAAGATGGTTTACAGTTAGCCGTGTGTAGTAACACTGAGGGGGCCCACAGAGATGGGTAACAGCAATAGGGGTGCAAGTCCCTTGGGCCTGTTCTCTTCTGCAGGTTGTGCTTCTGAGGGGTAAAAGACCCCAGCTGTCTCTTGTCCATACCATGGATTCATCAGCTCTTCCCTAGTTATGCTAATTTCTCTTTGTAAACAAAATAAATAGGCTTTAAGTGCCTACCTGTAAAGCTAACTATGATTGGTTGGTTTAGTCTATCTTAGTCTCTATATTGTAAGATCATTTTTTATTTGCAGCCAGGACTTTTGGCCCTACATATATATAGTCATATATTATTAAAACATTTCAAAGGTAGGGTTGGTGGCTGGCAAGATGGCTTATCAAGTAAAGATGCCAACAAGTTTGGTGGTCTGAGTTAAATTCCCAGAACCCACATGGTGGAAAGAGGTTCTCTGACCTCCTCGTGTGCACTGTGGTGTGTCACACAAATAAATGTCATTCTAAATTTAATAGAAGGGGTTGGAGAGAGAGCTCAGCTTATCACACAAACATTGGGGACCTGAGTTGGGTCCCCAGCACCCCATGTAAGAAGTGTGATGACACCTGTAATCCTAGTATTGGGGATATGGACACAGGCAGATCTCTTGGGCTCCCTGGCTGACCATCCAGCCTAACCTCATTTGCAAGCCCCAGGTTCTAGGGAGACAGTTAAGAAGCAAGATAGCTCCCAAAGCACACACAAATACACATTTTCCCCCTAAAGGTTACATGACCATATGCAAGAGAGGTCAGTGTTAATGATAACATCAGAGAGTCTGCTGGAACCTCATAGCAAAGGATCCAGGACACCTTCCAACCATGAGGGTGTGCACGAGGCTGAGCTGCCCTTTTGTGAGCCTCACCAACTCGGAGGCGGAAGGAATTGAAGGAGTGCCTGTTGATTCCATCCAGCTTGCTCATCAGGGCCATGCTGAACTCCACCAAGACACCAATGTGTGCATGCTGCCGCTCCAGGTCCTGCAGGACATGGATTGCATACCCACTCTATGCAGCCTTGACTGAGGCCACACACATCCCATGGAGATAGGGTTCCTGTTCCCACCAGGGATCTCCAGGCTGCGCCAAAGAAGGCCTCTGCCCCTGACACAGAACTTTTAGTAAGGCGATAGGACTTGGGATATCCTGAAGTACTGATTTTTACACAGGCCTGGAGTACCTGGTTCTCATGTCCTGAGGGGATACTGAGCCCTGCTGCAGCCATATAGGTGCTGCCAATGGTCTTGATCTTCTCCACACCACTGAACTTAGGCTTCAGCAGCAGCTGCAAAACAAAAAAACAAAACAAAACAAGGCACTATAGCCTTGGTGCTTCCCCTGATGTGCAATGCAGACATATCACATGCATGGCCTTGTCCATCTGAGCTCACGACTGCAGGCGAGGTCACAGCTCCCATCCTCTATCTTCTCATTCCTTCCCTTCTCTGCATCATTTACTTAGAGGGGGGGTCAATGTCTCCCACAAACCAGCCCAAGCTGACTTCCTGAATTGTTGGCAGCATGGGCTTAGCCTGAGTCAAAGTTGTTCTGGAAGGGCCTAAATCTACCTGTCAGAACCTGTCCAGTAGAGATTTAATAAAAGTTTACTTACTAGATTTTTAAAAATCTCTTGGTATTCAGTGTAATACAGGTCCAGCCCATTGGCCTCATGTTTTGTTTAACTGCTCTTTTCTCTTCCAGGACTAAGGATCAAGCCACAGCTTCACACAGACTTAAGCTTGCATTGCAGTACTGAGCCTCCACCCTGCTCTTGCCACCACACAGGTGACAGGTGCAGTAACCCCTATGCAGACTGGCCAGGCCTTACCTCGTCAAAATCAGCAATGATCTCATTCAACAGGCGCAGGCACTCCAACCCTTCTTTGTTGACATCACACTCAGTGTAGAAGACTTTGAAGTCCGGAACGGATGCAAACATGACACAGACACAGTCATAAGACTGATGGTACCAGTCCTGCAGCAGGGGAAGAGAAACAGGACCCTAAGACTACTAACCCTGGATTCAGGTGCTGCTGGGCAGTGCCGGTCCAGTCTGGCCAGCTGTGTGAGCTGTGACAGATTGAATGCAGCTAAGGCAGGAGTCCAGTCAGGAGGTGGTTTTACACTGAGCTGTCATGGGGCCCGTTTCCTGTGTGGGAAAGTCCCTGCCACACGCACCCCATGGAAGTGCAGGAGTCTTATCAATACAGCACATCTGGATGATAGACACCTCGGCATGTTTGAACCTCATGATCTATTTTCCAGGGTAGAAGTCAAGGCCAGGGAGGCATCTTGCCCACACCCCCTGGTGGACATAGACCTCTGACTTGATTGCAAGCCTGCCTTTGCATCTAGCATACTCTGGGGTATACTGCTGAGTAGCCCAGGTTTTGCCAGCACTGGGCAGCTGTGCCCACAGACTCCTGGAGTGTCCCGCCTTCACACACCTCAGCTGCCTTGTCACCAATGAAGTGGGCAGCCACGTGCGCCGGCAGCACGTTTTCCAGGAGGAGGCGGTTTACATTCTCCATTGTTTCAAATTCCTCGTGCTCCTTCTTGAATTTCTTCTTCCATAGACAGTCCAAGCGGCAGTAGTAGTCAATCTGCAAGCCAGGGAGCCAGTGTCACAGCTGTCACACCTGTAACGCCACCCAGAGCTGGGACATAGGGTACTGGACCAGCCTACCTACAGTGCTGCCCACCCTGCCCAGCCCTGTGCAGAACAAGACCAGCACCTCCATGGCAGGCCTGAACCCATGTTGGTATCTTAGGCCCCAGCCCCCCACACCCACTGCTGACTCAAAAGAGGCTGGGCAAGGAGCCTACACACCTGTCTAGACAGCAAGATGAGGGTGGCGTAGAACAGGACCAGGTAGAAGTTGATCATGGTCTTCAGATCTTTCTCTAAACATCTGCTGGGGGAGGGGGCAGTCACCTGAGGCCCCAGAGCAAGGGTGTGGCTGGGTGTGCTTTGTCCAGCAGGCAGGACTGGTGGTGTCCTAAAGGGTAGGGAGTACACATTGGCAGCTGTGCAGGGAAGCAGGGGGAAGGAGGTGACAGTCTCAGTGAGGGACTTCAGGGTCCCTCCAAAAGGCCTGTCTGTGGACTGAGGAGCTGCAACAGCATCTGTAGTTTGGCATAAGGACCTGACCAGAGTAAGGCAGACAGTTTTTCCCCCTAGGTCCTCAAGATTCTAACCACATAGGCTGCAAAAGATCCAAGTCCTTCCCTCAGCCGGAAGCCTTGAGGGCTGCAGAGCCCTTCTCAACCCACAGGAGTGGGCGACTGCCCGGGGGGTAACGGGCATCTGCACTTCTGATGTTGGTGACCCAGGTCACAGGTCGGAATTAGCTGGCTTGAGGCTCCCTTCTTACCCCCCTGACAGGCTCAGAAAGAAGAGGAGCCTGATTGTTAGGACATCTCCAAGAACCCATCGTAAGCCATACACCCAGCTCACAGTGCTGGAGACCTGGGGCCTGGACCAGTCACTGCCTCTCTTAAATCCGAATCCTGCCCACCCTCACTATCTGGTTCAGTGGGACCATGGACAAAGCAGCATGCCCTGGCCAGGCACTGGGTCAAAACAAACGAGCTTGCAGTCGTGGACACCAGTGACACCAGCAGGTAGGGCCCCACCTGTGTGTGCTATTGGGTTCAGTGCTGTTGCCTGGGACATGCCAGCATGGGGAGAGGTTGAAGAGTAGCAGGTAAGCCACCAAGGCCACCGTCAGCAGCAGGGCCTTCAGTTCCAGGCTCATGCGCAGGAAAACGGAACACGAGATGAAGCCCAGGATGCAGCTGCAGGTGTAGTACTGCGGGTGGGACAATGTCCTATTTCAGTCACCGGGAGGCATGCGTGGAGCCAGCTCCTTCCTGCTGAGGCTGCAAGGCCAGGTGTCTGCCACCCTAGGCCACTGCTTCCCTGTCCGTCACAGATGAGCAGGGAAGCCGCACGGCACTGGGCTGAGGGCCAGCCCTAGTCTCACCACTTCTCATGGCCCCATTCTTGACTTGGGCCTCTCCAGGCACAGACCTCGGCTTCTGTCAGCTGCCCTGGGCCCAGCCCTTCATTCCCTTAAGGCCTCAATTAGCCTCTCTGAGTGTAGAGAATCTAACTACAGGGCAAGTGACCCAAAGTCACCCTCGACTGCAACTGATGCTGGTCTGCAGGCCTTGCCTGCAGGCCTTAGAACAACCAGCTAATCCCCCCCCACCCCGGTCCTATTTCCCTGGCATTGGGCAGGCAGGGAACAAATTCAGCTGCCTGGATCTGGCCTAGAGAAGGGCCCACTCCCACTTACATTGAGAGACACTGGACTCATCCTTTCTCTCCAAGGCCCCAGGATTCAGACCTTCAAACCATGAGCTGCACTCCGGTCAGAGTGGCCCAGCGAGAGAACTGGCCAGGGGCTGGGTGGTGCCGGAAGCCGGGATGAGCGTACTCACCGGGAGGAGCTCACATGGGGTCCCAACTCTATTCCTTACAGCCAGCAGGCTTGTCTCATTGCCTCCTGGCTGCTCTGGGCCTGGGTTAAGCATCGGTGGCTGAAGGGAGACAGATTGCCATTAGAGTGGGTCCAGGCATGAAGAAATGTCAGGCCCTGGGTGGGTGACCCAAGACAACTGTGGGCACCAAAGGTGACCTGAGGCTGGGTGCCAGGCTCTCGGCTGAGCCCAGAAGTGACTGTGTCCACAGCAACCACCAGGTGTGGAGGACCTGGGGTGGGGAGAGACAGAAGTGTTGAGACAGCAGCCCAGGGCAGGCAGGTGAGAAAGCTCCTGGGCCCTGAGAGAAGGGCATAAGAGTACACTCCCAAATCCGCAGCCGACAGTGTGGAGGAGAAAGAAGTGTTCTAAAGGAAGGAGCAGGCATAAGGCAGGGTTGCAAGTCCGTCCCTACAGGCTGCTCAGCAACCCACGTGTGACTTGGACCAGAGGGCAAGTCTTATCCCTTACTGAGTCCCAAAGAGCAGGCAGTATGTATCTGTGGAACTGCGGGCCCTCAAACCCTCCCTTCAGGGGTGAAGAGCTCCAAGCTTGCACTGGGGGGATCCCACAGACCACTGCAGAGCTACAGGGGGTCACTCTATATGGAACTGTTGGAGCAACAAGAATCCTAATCCTAGGATCTGGGTTCCCAGGAGATACACCCTTAGCACAGCTCTGCCAGGGCTTGCTGTCCTGACCCCATAACTCACCATGTTGATGATGGCAACGGTCAGTAGGCTGCCAACAGTCAGCACAACCAGGGACAGCCTGAGCAGGGGCTGTGTCTCCACACTCTCCAAGACGGCCTGGAGTGTACCTCGGGCGGCGGGAAAGCACCTCTATGGATAGGGGCAAGTCATGCAAAACAGCAGCTGGGACAAAGGACAGCCTTACTCGGGAGAATGGGTGGCACTAACTGGCCTGGGAGGCTGAGGACTTGGGCGCAGTCTGCAGGGACTCAATTGTCCTAGGGGTAAGATAGAGCACCCAGGCAAGACTGCTGGTGAGGGAGAGGCCATGGTGATGAATGAACGCACTGAATTCAGAGATCCACTCACCGAGAACTCAGTAGCAAAGCAGAAACTTAGCACCAGCCCCAGCAGGCAGGCCACCAGTCCAAAGGACACACCCAGAGTGGCCATCCTAGAAAGAAGGGAAAACTTGAGTCCAGGTACCGTCCACCATTCCCAGTTCTCCGGTTCATGGTGACCTCTCCCTCCCCAGTGGATATTCTGCACCCAGCAAAAGAGACCTTGAAAAATGACTCCAAATGCCCCACAAATAACAATCTCAAAGATCAAGGCTGTCATCAAGTCCCCCTAAGTTTATAAGAAGTGAGTCACATCACGAGCCTCTAGAACTATGTCTGGCATGTAAAACACAAAAGCATCTGTATGAGGGGGCTGAAGAGATGGCTCAGGGGTTAGGAGCACTTGTTCCTCTTGCAAAAGGATCTAGGTTTGATTCCCAGCACCTACATGGTTGGTTCCAAACCACCTATAACTCCAGGTCCAGGAGACTGGACATCCTCCTTTGATAGCCTCAGCCACCAAGCACACATGTGGTACAAATACACACATGCAGGCAAAACACACATAATACAGTAAAAGAATGTTTAAGCATCCATATATAATTTTTATTTAGTTTTCTTTGTTTGTTTTTGGTCTTGTTGTTGTTTTAGCTCTTTAAGACAGTTTATCTGTGTAGCCCTGGCTGTCCTGGAACTCACTCTGTAGACCAGGCTGACCTGGAACTCAGATTTCTGCCTGTCTCTGCCTCCAAAGTACTAGGATGAAAGGTGGTATACCACCACTGTCCGGCTTTAGTTTGGTTTTTACACAGGGTCTTACAGCTCTGGTTGATCTGGAACTTTCCATATAGACCAGTCTGGCCTCAAATTTGCAGCAATCCTCATATTCTCATGTCTCTGCCACTCAGTGCTGTGGACTCACAGGCCTAGGTCACCATACCTGGTTGTTATTCAGCCTCTCTCTCTCTCTCTCTCTCTCTCTCTCTCTCTCTCTCTCTGTGTGTGTGTGTGTGTGTGTGTGTGTGTGTGTGTGTGTGTGTGTGTGTGAATGTGGGCACCTACATGCCACAACATGCATGTGGAGTTTAGAGAATAACTCTGGAGTCTGTTCTCTCCTTTAACTCTGTGGGTGGTAGGGATCAAACTTGAGCTGTCAGGCTTGTTGGCAGGTGCCTTTACCTGCTGAGCCATCTCACTAGCAGCCCTATTTAGTCTATTAAGCACATCCAAAGCCACAATACCGACTGTGCTTTGTTTTAACTGCTTTCTGAAAGCTATCTGTGGCTACACTTTGTTTTCTCTGGCCCCTTGTCCCTGTCTACACCAGCAGTTCCCCAGAACCTGAAGTACGAATTTCAGGGCTCTTGGGTCCAGGCTGGATGCCACTATTCCTGTAAGTCTCACTTTCTCCTCTTGAAAGGGGGAAATGACAGTGCCCAGTGTTTCCAGAGGCTAAGGCAGCAGATGGTAGCCTCGGACAGTTTTACACCCTGTCACAAGGAGAGGTCAGTAACTCCAGCTCTGAGGCTAAAAACCCCCAGCTCCAGGGGTGGAGGATCCAGAGCTGAAGTCACTGGTCCCTTCCAGCTAGCCATGAAGTACCTTGCCAGTTTCTGCTGGGTCCTGCCAAAGTCACCACCCCTCCAGCTGGACCCCAGTGGGCTTGCTCATCCCTCCCACCACAGGCTGACCTGGGCATCACAAGAAGGTGGACAAGTAGGATGCAGATGAAGACAAGGCTGGCACAGGCGAAGTCGTAGCGAGCCCGGGGGATGGGCACCAGGCGGTACTGGGTGGGTGAGTCGGGGGTGGACATGACTGTGAGAGACAGCTACCAGCAAGGTCCCTTTAATGCCTACCCCAGGTTCATATCCTAAAATAAAGTGCCTGGCACCGCTCCTGGAGTTCACCTGCCAACACTATACTCTCTGCACTGGCAATACTCAGCACCCAGCAAGGCTTTTGTTTTCATTTCTCGGGGAAACAAGCTTGAGCTCCTGGAGCTGTCACTAGGCATGACCTCACCCCTTACAAAGGAGTATTATCTATTATCTGAGCCTGGGTCCCTGGACAAGCAGGCAGGGATCCCTGTGGCTTACCCTCCACATGGCATCACTTTGTTACCATTTTTATCATGCTGCCATGGTAAAGGACCAACCAAGACTTGGACCATATGACCCACAGCCAAGGGAAGCCTCCTCCACTCTCCTCCCAGGAACTTCACTCAGAATCCCCAGGGAGAAGATTCCTCCTGTCAATAGTGGACACCAGGCCATCAAGGCAGGAGCCTCCCCAGATGGCCACAGCCTAAAGCTAAGGACAAGCAGCTTCAGCGCCATGGGCTGCAGGCTCCTATCTAAGCTGGACCTGGTACCTGCCTGGCTGCTTGAGGGAAAGATAGATTTGATTCTGATATGGACCCAAGACCTGCAGGGAGCCATGAATTGCTCTAGACCTATAGAGCCATTAGGGCACAAAAAGTGTGTCACAGCAGCCAGGCAAGGGGTCCCACAGGTATGCAACTAGGAGGCTGGATTAAGTCTGAAACACTCATTTGCCTCAATCCCGGGGACAAATCTCTAGAGTGGCGTCAGTTAAAGGGGTGAGGCCGACAGAAAGAGCCACAAATGAGACTGACAGAACCCTGTCCACCCCAACAGCCAGTTAGGAGCCCCCATGGGCACCCCCTCCCCCTCTCTGAGATTTGCTGGACCCAGCAGTTCATGCCCCACCCACCAGGCCTAGAGCAGATGCTCTATGGTAACTGCCCAACCCTCACCTCACACTCAAAGTCCTTCTCCAGGAAGATGGGACCAAAGGTGTGGAAGTCATCAGACTTGGAGCAGCAGGGCCTAGGAGAACAGCAGCACAATGCGCCACAGAGCAGGAGAGGGCCACATCCTCAGAGGAAGCCCCAGGGCAAGGGAAGAGCCCACATCCAAGCCAGGGCTCAGTATCCAGCAGGAGGGGACCAGCCCTGCCAAGGGAGGGAAGAGGGGGGTGGAGCTCACAGGCCTCACCTGGTGGAGCTGAGCCCCTCAATGGCAGAGAGCATCTCGTCATCACAGTCATCCTCCAAGCGTCCCTTGGGGGATGTACTCCTAGAATTAGAGGCCCGACTCCATCACCCCAGGGGCCTATTCAGCTGGAGACTAGGGTATGGATGATGGATTTACCAGTGGGATTACTGGTATCTAGTGTGGTCTCCAAGGTCATGAAAAGGGGTGGGGTTAAGCAAAGGGCCAGCAGCACCACAAGAAGCAGAGGACATATCCCCCCAAGACCAAGGCCACCTTGGCTAAGGGTAGCACCAGCCCAGAAGCCAGAGACACACCTTCCCTCACCACAAACACATAGCAGCCCGCTGTCCCAGCCCTAGGGTAGCATGCAGTGGGAATTCCCACCCCAGTCATTCAAAGAGCCTGGGGTCTGGGAGTCCCACACCCACAAACCCGAGACCTGGCAAACCCACGGAGGCCTGGGCTGGACCTGAAGGGACTGCCCCAGACAGAGACTGGTCGGGGTGCCTGCAGGAGGAGATCAGCACGTGCCGCCAGTGAGCAGTGTGCATGGAGGGCGGTGCACCTACCTGTCAACGGCACGGTGTCGGCGCAGAGGAGTGGCCTGAAAGGGGTGAGAAGAGATGACCAGCCCCTGAACACTGACCCTCATTCACCATGGGCCTGGTTTTCTTTCCTTAGACTGGAAAAGGACCAGGAGATTCCAGGCCCCACTGGAGCAGTCTCCAAACACCTCCTCCTGTCCAGAAGGGAGGCTTGGCAAAGACTACCCACATACAGCTAGAGGAAAAGGGTGGGACAGAGCCTTTTGCTCCCTGTCCCTTCTCAGAGGGTCCTGACCCAGCAACCAGATGGGAGGGGACCTACCTTTGGCCTCTGTCCAGTGGGACTGGGGGTCTCGCTGCTGCTCACACTCTCCCGATGGTTGAGGTGTGCAAAGGGCCTCGCTGCCCCCCAGGACTCGAGATAGCGGGTTACACGCACTGAAGCCCGTATCTTCAGGGTGGCATCCCCCTTGGGCTTGGGGAGATGATGGCTGGGTGGGGGCGGCTGCTGGCTCTGCAAACACATAGACATGACCTGTCCCACCTGTTCCCCTCTCAACCATCCCTGGAAGGCATGTTCACATGCCTGGAGCATTCATTGGCTGCTCTGGTAAAGGGGAAAGTGTTAAGTTTCCAAGCCTCTTCTTGAAGCCCTGGAGACTGGCTGAAGCCCTCAGTTAGCATCCAGGCCAGGATCAGCCCCCCTCGAGAAAGGGGTAAGCAGGAACCCTGCCCTGCCCACCCACAGGTGGCTCACACATGCTCCTTCTGGTGAGGGCACTGAGGAAAAGATGTGTGCTGGCCTGAATCCAGAAACATGGCCACTAAGGCATGGGCCCAGTCCAGGGCAGTCTTTGAAGGAGTGCCACACCCAGCCTCAAGTTCAGCTCCAGGCCCATTTGCCACACACTTGCTGGGTCCAGCATCATGCTGGGGCCTCAGGGGCTTAAGCCAGGACCTGGGGGTCCAGCTCTGCCTCCTGCCCTAATGCCACTGAGCCCCAAGTCCCCCTTAATGGATGCCTGGGCCTTCTCCAGTCAGGGTGGCCAGGTATAGCTGGAAGAGAGGAAAAGAAAGAGCCTCAAGGTCATCAGACACAAGCATAGGCTACCTGTGTCTGCTGGGGTCTTGTGCCCCTCCTCCCCCCCAGCATCTCAGACACTCCCTCCAGAGCCCGTCTCCTCAGACTTGCCAACACGAACAGGCAGCAGCCCGCCTACAACCCCAACCCCTGGCCAAAGCACAGTGGCAATTTTACTGGACACTTATAGCATCTCTGGGCATAGAAGCCTCTTTAAACCCTCACTGCCCGCCATCTACTCAGTCTAGGACCAGTATGTAGAGTTCCACCTGAGGAGGTCCTAGGATCCAGGCAGACGACAGCCAAGCCAGGCAGTGAACAAGAGCTGCTGGATCTGGAGGTGAGGACCTTCCCCTCTGCTGCCTGTAACCCTGGTCATGTGCTGACTGGACACAAGAACGAAGAACTCCTACAGGCCCCTCTAAACTGCAGCCATGTGAATGAACCGGTCAGCAGAGCTGAAGAGAGGGACGAGGAAGAACGACAGTTCCACACTGCCAGTGCACGCACACACATGCTGCTGCTTTTCTGGAGCTTGGCTGGAGTCTGGCCAGCATCCTGCAATTCTGCTGGCTCAGTCTGGCAGCCCTGGGGGTGGGCTTTGGAACTAACAGGCCTGCAGATGCCTTTGAGGTTGGGGCTTCATCCATTTCAAAGCCACTAAATGCATGCTCAGAGCAGAGCTGGGCAATCTGCAGGCTAGAGGGCCAGTGGTCTTTAGCAGCATGAACGACAACAAACAAGGGAAAAGATAAATAAACAGGACCACATGGGGACAGTAAGGCCAGGAGCAGGCATTTTCCTGTAGCTGCCCTGTGGACATTAGCAAGATAAGGCAGGCAGTGCAGGCTAGGTGGGTTTGCAGGCCGTCTCCAGGAGTAGCCAAGGGCCAGGACCAAGAGTGCTGGAAGGAGCTCCTGTCAGCATTCTTGAGCAAACTCCAAGGATGATTCAGGAGGTTAAGACCACAGACAACAAAAAGCAGCAGACTGCCAACTTGGAACAGTCAGCAGACAAACCCAGCAGACTCTCCAGTTGGGCCTCCAGGGCAAGCTTGGCTCCAAGAGAGGAGGCAACTCGAGCCACCTGAGAGCCCCAGACCAGCAAGCTCCAGGGGCAGGCTGCCTGGCCATTCTCTGCTTCCCTGAGTAGTCACAGAGGTAAAGAGTCTGTCCTGCAGCTTCATGGGACTACACTAACACTGCGCTCTGTGCCCAGAGTTGCTGACATAGCCCTTGCTCCCTGCCTTACAGAAACACAAACAGGTTGTTCCTTGGTGCCTAGAATGTGCCCAGTTCAAGGAAATGCCCTCCTACTTTGGGCTAGTCTCTGCCACCTCACCACAGTCTTGAGGTCAGCTGCCAGTAGTTGGGACCCTGTTCTCAGGCTGCCCAATCCCCCCCCCCACCCCCCAAGCCCTTATACCCGGGGGTCGATCACCAGGTAGGTTCGGATGTTCATCTCTTTCAGATAGGGGTCACGCTGCTGCCCGTTCCCATCCTCCACCTCGTATGCCTTGTCCAGGTGGTTCAGTGTCGCCTCTGTGATGTGCACCCGGCTGGGGAGACCCAAGTCAGATAAAGCAGCATGGCCCAGGCACCCATTTAGGGGTACACAGCAGGTGGGACTGGCTCCACCCCCTGCCCCCACACCTGGTCCCACCTCGATCACCCTGGTCTCTGTCCCTGCCCTGATGAAACTCACCCAGGGACCCCAGCTGCCTCCATTCTATTGGCCAGGGACACATCATGGGACCACACATCATACTGCCACTTGCGGAGCCCGATGACCCCACACAGCACATTCCCGGAGTGGATGCCCACACGCATGCTGATGTCCACTCCTGTGGCCTCACGCACCTGCCTGGAGCAGAACAGTCTGTCACCTACAGCAGCTCAAGGCCATGCTTGAGGTCTTGGGTATGGCAGGGCACCTAGGGAGGCAGGGCTTCCTCTTCAGAGAGGCCAAGAACCCCACCCCTGGGAGTGTGCAAGCTCACACCCACCTCAAGGGTGTGTAGGAAGTGAAAGGGACTTAGGATGACACTTATACTGATGGGCCACATTCTGTCCCTGGTATCCCTTGTCCTGCAGGCAGCCCTGGTTAGCTCTGATAAGGCTGCCAGGGTGTGAAGCATGCTAAGCCCTACCCAACACCCAGCATAGACAAAGACCCTGGGAGGTCTCTACTCCAACTGTAGGAAATGCGGGCCCTATTCAGTACAAGGCATCTCCAGGGTGAAGCCTCTCAGGATGTGGCACCCACCCCATCCCCCAGGGATGAGCAGACCTCTACACTCCTCAAGCACCTATGTCCACCACTAGAACAAGGGATGAGCTGGAGCCACCAGGGCTAGAGCCAGCAGGAGCAAAAGTCGCCTCTACACAATGCAGAATGGGGACTTGCCGAGTCCCATGGCAGGCGTCTTGGGTGTTCTGTACTGTGGGAAGAGTTCTTGGAGGCACAGCAAAGTGGTGCCGGATGGAGTACCTCCTCAGTTGCCTAGACAGGCCGCCTGCACCATCATCTCATGCTTCTTCCTGCATACCCCTGCGCACCTCACCAACAGACGGATGCCAGCAGAAGGGCCCAAACGATCCAGGCCTCCTTGTTGCTGGAGAGTAAGTCCTCTGGCACCAGAAACTTCCCAGAGGAAGGGAAGGCAGATGGAGTCTTGCCACTGGACCTTGCCCCTGAAAAGCCTTCCTGCTGTCTTCCCTGACCTTCCCCTGCTGTCCCAGGCCTTGGGAGGGTAGAGCTTTTTATTTATTTTATTTTGTTTGTTTGTTTGTTTGTCATATGAGACAGGGTGTCTCTATGCAGTCCTGGAACTTGCTATGTAAGCCAGGCTGGCCTCAAACCCACAGAGATCTGCCTGCCTCTGCTTCCTCAGTGCTGGGATTAAAGGCATGTGCCAACCATGCCTGGCCTAACTCAGCTCTTTAGATGCTTCTAGGACTTGCAGCCACAGGTGGGCCCTGAGGAAGGGAGGCCAACAGAAGGAGTATGCATCCTCCACATGGCATACTGAGAATCCAGGCAAGTCTCACCTCCCCACACCCACCTCAATTTGTAGTTTAGCAAGGGGACATGCACCTGTGCCCTGGCCCACCTGCACCTACTTAATGGCCTCACATATGTCCAGACCCATCTTCACGCAGTTGCGGGCGTGGGTGGGCAGCGACACAGGCAGGCCTGACACGCAGTAGTAGCAGTCTCCCAGGATCTTGATCCGCATGCACTCGTTGGCCTGCAGGGTAAGCAAGCAAGGGGTGGTTCTCAGGGCAGCTCTGGGGCCAGCTGGACTCGCCCTGCCGGCAATGGACTTCAGTGCTGGTGCAGCGGCTGCTTCAGAGACTGGTGAGAGGACCCAGGGAGACCCAGCCAGGAATCCAGATGAACGCCAGACTTAGTAAGGGCTATAGAGGATGGACCATCTTTTTTATTTATCCGTGTAGTGTTTGAACACCTGCTGTGTACCTGGCCAGGTAATGTAATAGAGTATAGCAGCAAAGTACAGATACAAATCCTGCAGTTGTGGAATGAACATGCAAGTAGAAAGTTACAACTAAATCAATACAATTAGAAGATACACCTAGGAGAAGATGAGGTACTGGAGAAAGAGGAAGGGCCCAGAAAACCAGAGCCATCACAGTCCTAGGAGAAAAGTATTCTGGGGGCGGGGGGGCTAGAGAGATGGCTCAATGGTTAAAAGGAACTGGCTGCTCTTCCAGAGGTCCTGGGTTCAATTCCCAGCACCACCTACATGGCAGCTCACAACTGTCTATAACTCCAGTTCCAGGGAATCCAACATACACAAAAAAATTAAAAAGTAAAATGTTAACGAAAAGAAGAACATTCCAACATATGCAAAGGTCTCCAGGCCAGGAAGCTACTTGAAATAAAACTAGGACGGTCAGTATAGCCAAAGCAGAGTAAGTCAGGCAGGAGTCGCAGCGGGCACCCTAAGCAGATGCTAAGCAGAAGTCAAGCCCAGAGGTGCTATGCTGCTAGATCTGGAGCCAACAAGGTGAGACTGGGCCCCACGGGAAATGCCTGGAGAAGGAGGGTCCGGGATGGGAGTCTGCAGCCCCACCAAAGACAGAGCTGAGGCCACCAGTCCTCTCAAGCCCTCCAGCAGGGGCCACATGTAGCGTCTCGTGTGAACACCAGCCTTGCTTTGCAGTTTCTCGAACCCCTGCCCTGTGCTCAGCCAGTGCTCAACTGACTCCCAATCTTGGCCCCTGCCCCGCACCTCTCTTGTGCCGTGAGTGCTCAAGGGGGAGCCCCAGTCATAATGCTCAGCACCAATGCTCAGGAGCCACAGGAAGATTTGGTAAAGGATGAAATCCATTCCTGGGAGCGGAAGAGATGGCTCAGCAGTTAAGAGCACTGGCTGTTCTTCCAGAGGACCCAGGTTCAATTCCCAACACCCACATGGCAGCCCACAAGTGTCTGCAACTCCAGTTCCAGGGGATCCAGCCCCCTAACACAGACATACATCCAGGCAAAACACTAATGTATATAAAATAAAAATAAATAATTAAAAAAAAAAGAAAAGAAAAATCTATTCCTGTTTGGTACTTGCCAGGCTTCTCAGGGCCAGAAGGACAAATCTTACTCTGCCTAGGTCACTAGGTTCTTGTCTGCCTCCCTGATACTACTACTCCTGCTAACACACACACACACACACACACTACACACACACACTACACACACACACACTACACACTACACACACACACACACACACACACACTACACACACACACACACTACACACACACACTACACACACACACTACACACACACACTACACACACACACTACACACACACACACACACACTACACACACACACACACTACACACACACACTACACACACACACACACACACACACTACACACACACACACACTACACACACACACACACTACACACACACACACACACTACACACACACTACACACACACACACACACACACACACACACACACACACACACACACACACTACACACACACTACACACACACACACACACACACACACACACACACACACACACACACACACACACACACACACACACTACACACACACACTACACACACACACACACACACACACACACACACACACACACTACACACACACACACTACACACACACACCACACACACTACACACACTACACACACACACACACACACACACACACACACACACTACACACACACTACACACACACACACACACACACACTACACACACACACACACACACACACACACACACTACACACACACACACACACACACACACACACACACACACACACACACACACACACACACACACACACACACACACACTACACACACACACACACACACACACTACACACACACACTACACACACACACTACACACACACACTACACACACTACACACACACACACTACACACACACACTACACACACACACACACACTACACACACACACACTACACACACACACACTACACACACACACACACACACACACACACACACACACACACACACTACACACACACACACACACACACACTACACACACACACACACACACACACACACTACACACACACACACACTACACACACACTACACACACACACACACACACACTACACACACACACACTACACACACACACACACACACACACACACACACACACACACACACACACACACACACACACACACACACACACACACACACACACACTACACACACACACTACACACACACTACACACACACACACTACACACACACACTACACACACACACACTACACACACACACACACTACACACACACTACACACACACACACACACTACACACACACACTACACACACACACACTACACACACACTACACACACACACTACACACACACTACACACACACACACACACACACACACACACACACACACACACTACACACACACACACACACACACACACACACACACACACACACACGGAGCTGTCTTCACGTCATGGAGACAGAGAATTACATCTGCTTCAGGCCTTATCTGCCTGCCCCACAGGTTTCTCCTCCCTCCAGGTCTGAGTTGTGTCTGCCCCCAATCCCTTGCTGGCCTCAAACTCACAGACATCAGCCAGCTCTGCCTCCCAAGTGTTGGGATTAAAGGTGTGTGCCATCACACTGGGCCACAGGTTTCTTTGGAAGACTTCTCAAACTTTCTTATATGCACAGTTCACCTGGGAATTTGTCAAGCTGAGACTGAGTGAGGCGAGGCATTCTGGGTGCTCCCAGACCCCCATGTAAGGCAAGGCTGGCAGGCTGGAAGCCATTTGCAGGTTGCAAGTCTAAGCCTCCATCTGAGCTGGGCCCATAAACACCCTGGAAGTGCACTTATCTTACCTTGCTCTCCTGCTGAGCCGGGAGCCAGCCCCTGCACCTTGGCACCCCACTCACACGGACTACGCAGAAATCACCTACTACACAGACACTGGCATTCGGCCTTAGCCTCCCATCCACTCCCAGCTCACAAAGCATAGGATGCCCTGTGAGGCAGCAGCAGGCTGACGGCACGCCCACACTCACCTTGGCAATCTGGTCAAACTTTCCGAACAGCTCATTGAGTACCACCACCAGCTCCTTGGGCGAGCAGTCGCTGGCCAGCCGCGTGAAGCCCACGATGTCTGCATACAAGATACTAGTCCAGGTAGACAGAGCTTGGATCAGATCTCTGGGAAGTAGCCCTGCCTCTGCCCGCATCAGTCCCAAAGGCCAGAAGAGGTACTCCCATCCAGCATGGCCCATCTTAGTTCCAGAGGCCTCTCACTACAGCAGGACAGAGCACACTACCTACTACCACCACTGCTCAGCTCCCAGCACCCTCCCCCCCCCTGCACCTGCACCAAGAATCAAGAGCCTTGAACTCCCAGAGCACAACTCCCCTTCCTTACAATCCTCCCCAGGCCTGGAAAGAACCACAGGCGAGCAAGCTGAGATCCAGGGAGGTAGGTGGCAATGCCCTCAGGTCTATGGCCTGTAAGACCCCAGGCAGATAGATGCAGCCCTGACTTGTACTAACAGATATCTGTTGGGACATAATGCTGACACTTTGGGCAAAGACCCAGGTGGAGCTCCAGGTGACCACACTACACCTCACAAGAGATCCTGCACCCTGACCAATCGGTAAGGCCAAAGAGGGCCTGCCCTCCAATCCCTGTGTGGACTGAGGCTCCCCACAGAGCACTGTCTGCCCAGGGCCAGGGGACGCTCAAAGGATGCCTTACCCACCTGACATTCTGGTGCCGCTTGACGTAGAGGCTGTGAAAGTTGTTGTCAGGCATGTGGCGGTGGTCGCCACCCTCTCTGAGGCGCTCAATGATGGCCAGCTTCATGCCCATGGATATGTGAGCTGGGAGCACGGAGAGCAGCAGGTTCTCCTGGCACAGGGGGCAGAGCAGTGGGAGGACGGTGGAGACAGGCAGAGCATTAGCAGGCCCCAGGCTAGCCGCCTGGGTGGCATTCTTCCCACAGTTCTGCCCATGATGCATCACCCTGGTGGACCCTAACCCTGTCACCAAAGCCCCCAGGTCTGAGACCCACAAGGGACCAGCCACACAGCCACATGGACACTTGGCCCAGTGGAGGGATGACAAGGTGGGTACACAGTAGTCAGGGAGAAGGCAGGTGGGGACGCAGGTCCCTACCTGCTGGCGCTTCTCCACACGCAGCTTCCGGCGGATCTGGATGCACTTGACAGTGTAGATGAAGAGGTCCCGGGAAGCATCCTGAAGCTGGTGCTTGTGGAAGGCACCGGTGAAGTTCCCACCCAGGAGGATAACGGCATTGGCCAGGAGCTGAGGGCAGCCGAGGGCAAGCAAGGCTCAGCATGGTCCAGCCGGAACACTTGCTCAGCAAGACCCCCACAGCAGACACGGTGGCATTTGTCCCCAGTGTCTGACCCAAACACTCTTCAGGTTGTCATTTTTCCCTGGGTTAAGCAGAAAACTGAGACCAAGGTGGCAGCTGGTTCCCTAACGAGTTGCTATGACCACAGGACCAGGACTTGGGCCTTTGCCCTACCAGACACATACCTTGTCTGTTAAGACCAGGGTACCAGAGTCCAGGAATGCCAAGTACTTCCAAGGAGATGGTGGCTACCTCACTGAGCCCCAAACCCAGCTGGCTGCCCAGAGCTCTGCCCTCTCTCCCAGAAGTGGACATCTAGGCCAGCCAGAAGGAAGACACATCCCTGCACCCCAATGATGCGAATTGGGGGCACACTTACTCAACAGTCACACACACTAAGACTGGGGTTCTATCAACCTGGGGGCCCTGGGGAGAGACACTCAGGGCAGGCCCTCATCACAGCAGGGCCTGAGTCCACAGTTAAGACAGACAGGAAGGGACCCTGCCTGCCACCACAGGTCTGCAAGCATGTCCCCACCCAGCCTCTGTCACCCTCACCTGCAGCACCAGCTGTGCTCCGGACACGGACATCTTGAAGGCTCCTGTCACAGCTCCAAACACCAGGAGGTGGGAGACAGTGGAGACCATCCCCACTGTGACGGCTGCCCGCGTGCTGAGGGGCAGCAGCGCATACACCACAAAGACAATGAACAGGAAGAAAGGCACCTGGGGACAGTGCACCCAGACACTCAACACGGCCCAGGACGGAGCAGGAGAGGTCCTCAGCCTGTTGTTGCCTGGGGTATCCCAACCCTGGGATCTCTCACCCCTCCCCTGCATGGCTGGCAGGGACAGACACCGTAGGACATGAAGACACAGAGTGCCTTGCTCGCCATTGAATACTGAGTTTATGTCTGCCAGAGCCTCGGCTGTTGGTCTGGTAATCACTGGAAGGCTGCGATGGGGTCATCACTTGTTGCCTCCCACGGGCAGGGCAGCCTCACTCCCCCCCCCACCCCCCCACCCCGCAGTCTATGATTTCATGAGCCTGAGCCCACCAGGTCCCGGCCTGAGCCCACCCTATCACGGCCTGAGCCCACCCAGTCACAGAAAAAGGCACAGGCTCTGATGACACTTCACAGCAACTGTGACTAACTAAGGTAGACCAGTGCAACTTAACCAAGATCTCCAGCTGTCACTTGGGATAGCTAGCATAGTGAGTGAGCAGCCATCTTAGCCTCCACCTGGTGACAGGCCACTCAGGAACAAATTAACACAGAGGAACAGAGTCCTAAGCAGCCAGGCCACTGGAGCAAGGGCCAGCTCTACTCAGCTCTTCCTGGCTCTGCAACCCATTGGTGCCTTTCTGCCTCCTTGAGTTGGAATTCTGTTATCTCTAAACAAAATGCCAGATCCTATCCAAAATGTCAGATACCCAAAGGGACACTCTGAGAAGAGAGGCATCTTGGGGCCTTCTTAAATCCAGTGTTATAGCCCGCAGGGAGGCCACAGCACAGACCTGCCCTGGCCCACTCCCATAAATCCCAGGGCCACAAGTAGGCAGAAAAACTTCTGGTTGCATATCCCAACTGCTTGCACCCAAGCTCAGTGACATCAGCTCCCACCATTACCTGCTCCCACGCACAGGCTCCATTCTTCCAGGAGTCCCACACCAGCACGGAGCCGAGCATCATGAGGCAGGCCCAGGTGAGCAGAGCCAAGGCCCACAGCCATCGCCGCACCAGGCACTCAACATATACCAGCACATAGAGAGCCACAAACAGCGTCAGCGTGAAGAAGGCAGTGCCCAGGAAAGCCTGGTGTCTGGGGGGATCCTGGGTAGAGCAAACAGACAGAGTACCCTGATTTTCTCCCCAGGAGCAGCTACTCCTCCAAGAGTCCACCCAGAATCAATCCAAGCACCTCCCGCACAGCAGTGCTGGGCTCCCCGACACCTGGTCTCCCCATAACCTCAGCACTGCCTTTCCCAGTCACTGCAGCAGCTTGAGCACCCCCACCCTTCCCTAAGAGACCACTGCTCCCCTGTGGGGGGTAAGTGGGACCACAGGAGCCGGAATAGAGCAAAACCTTGCTTAAGTCCTGGAGGAGAGGAATCTGTGCCCAAGAACTGGCTTTGGAGGGACATAAAGAGCAGGCACCCCACACAGAGGAGGCACTGGAGTAGAGGTGGGGAGAAGGATCCAGAAGATGCATCCACAGACCCTAAGCATCATGAGGCAGAAGCTCAGGGCACCTCTGGACAATGACAGGAAAGTGGCGCCTGTGTTGTAGCGCAAGGTCTAGCTGTCCCTTTCCACTCCCTACAGGGCAATGCTGCCAACACAGAACTCCCTGCAGCCCCTATTACTTCAGGAGCTTCTGACTGTGTTTACAGCAAGCAGCAAAAAAGAAGAAAACAGCAGCTTCTCAACAGTCACACGCTGAATGACAAACAACTGCACCCAGCTAGTGGCTGCAGCAAAGCAAGGCACAGGTGGCTGTGAATTCAAGGCCAACCTGGGCTACATAATGAGACCCTGTCTCAAAAAAAAAGAAGAAAATAATAAAGAAAAGAAAAAGAGGATGATAAGGAACAGGAAGACGGGGTGGGGAGGAAGAGGAAAAGGAGAAGGGAAAGCAAGGGAAGGAGGAGATGAGGGGGAGAAAGAAAAATTCTGAGCTCATACATAGCCAGATTCAGAAAGGAATAACAGGGGTTGATTGGTGGTGTCTGCCATGGTCAGACACGGGAAGGAGGTGATATACAAGCCTTGACTCAGATCTTTAACAGGCTGAATTTCATGGTGGAAAAAAATAAAAAAACAAAAAACTGGAGTGACTTCATACAATTAATTATAACAGTGAAAATCAACCAGACTTCAAGATCAAATTCAAATTGACTTGTTTTCCACCCACCTAGCAATTCACAAAGAAAATGAAGCCTCAGCTAAAGCTAAGCTTTCCCCATCAGAACAGGGAGGCCAAAGTACCCTAGCCCAGGGCCTCACCTCGTGGCTGAAGGTGATGATGATGAGTGCAATGCAGGTGGCCACAGCCACCAGGAGGAGCAGGAGCAACAGAGGCCCGTGCTGGCTGGTAAGGCGGTACTTCTCATAGAGCATTGCCTGGTTGGGGCCTTCATCACCCTCATTTAGAAAGTAGCGCCCCTTGGCTGGCATCTTCTTCGTCAGTAGCGTGGTCCAGCAGCCTGCTCAGGAGCCCCACAGCCTGAGATACATCTGTCTCCTGACACTCGTATACGTGGCCTAGGCCTCTGGCCTCTCTGAGGCTAGCAGGCAGGACTGGGCCGAGGCACCCAGAGCCTGTGGCTCCATGGGCACATGGCACCAGCTCCAGTCACTGAGTGTTGGTCACTGGTGTCTTCAGGGTATCTAGGATGGGCTGACAGAACCTTCCAGGTCCTCAGATCTGTGGAGACAAAGCAGACCACAAGTGTTTAATGTCCATGGGCCAAATAAGGGCTGGCAGGACGGAAGGTGGGGCCAGTTCCATACAGTACCTGAGCACGTGAATTTCTAATTCAGAGTCGTTAGAAATGGAATTATGGATGCCAGGTGTAGTGGTACTAAGGAGGCTGAGACAGGAGGATTGTGAGGACATCTGGACTATATGACAAGACCCTGTCTGAATACGTTCCCAGCCCCTCAATCATGCCAGTCAGTTTCTAAGGGCCACAGGCACGTGTGACTTGTGGGCACTGCAGTGGATGGCACAGACCCACTTTCTCAGCCTGGAGACTGGCAAAACACACTGCCACTCAAAGCCTGACTAAGCCACTTCCAGTTCGGTGACCGACTTCCCAACATCCTGTGCACGGCCACACGCATCTCTTTTTCTAAGTGGATCCCTAGGGATCTCCACAGAGCTTGTCGCTCAACCTTCCTTAGTTCGCTGAGCTTCAGTAGAGCTACTGCCAGACCAGATGAGCACGGTGTAGGATCTGATCTAACCTCTGCTCTATTCCCAGGGTCCCTGTGTGAACAACACACTCTCTGGATGCCTGGGACTTAAGGACAGACAGTATCAGGATCCAGGTGGCTTGGGGAGACCGAGGGCACAGGCCCAGCTTGCACACGGCCATTTTCAACCTGGGCAAGACTGTGCTTGACCATGCTGAGCATCCACAAGACAGCATGTTTTCTTTTTATCTAGTTAGTTAGATTTTTTTGTTTTTGTTTTTGTTTATTTGAGAGAGGGTTTCTTTATGCAGCTCTGCCTGTCCTGGAACTTGCTCTGTAGACCAGGCTAGCCTTGAACTCAAAAGATCTACCTGCCTCTGCTTCCTGAGTGCTGGGATTTAATACATGTGTCACCACCACCTGGCTTATTTTTATTTTTAATTATGCATGTGTAAGTGTGTGTGTGTGTGTGTGTGTGTGTGTGTGTGTGTGTGTTGCATGTATGCAGAGGCCAGAAGAAGGCATCAGATGCCCTGGAGTTGGAGTTATAGGCAGTTGTGAGCCACTCAGCGTGGGCTATGGAAACTGGACTCAGGTCCTCTGTAAGAGCCCCAAGTACTCTTAACCACTAGCTGCCTCTCCAGTCCCAGATGTGTCTTTCTTATAGGTTTGTTTCTGTTTGAGACAGGGCCTCACTATGTAACCCTAGCTGGCCGGAACTCACTTTGTAGTCCAGGCTGGCCTCAAACTCAGAGACCCACTTGCCTCTGCCTCTCAAGTGTTAGGATTAAACACCACACCTAGCTTGAGCTGTGTCTTCTTAAAGTGACCCACAGACACAGAAGTTTTTTCTGATACAAGGAGTTGAACCTGGAACCTCACATATGCTAGTGAACACTCTATTGTGGAACTGCAGCCCCATGCCTCTTTTTTCTCTTTTCATTTTGAGACAGGACTTCATTAAGACACCCACGCTGGCCTTGAACTCATTCTGTAGCCCAAGTAGGCCTTGAACCTGCCATCCTTCTGCCTCGGCCTCCTTTTTTGCTGGGATTACAGGTATGTGCCAGCATGCCTGACCCACTCAGCATGCAAGTCCTACCTCATAGCACAGAAAGCACAGTCCGGGAGAGACAAGGCAGCCTTTACTATGAACCTAAAGGTGGACCCGGGCTGGCTGTGCTTCACCACAGGCCCCTCTATGCTTTGTATCAATGTCCATCAACACAACTGTGTGTTCCCAAAGGGCTTCCCAGCCACAATTGCGATGAGCCAGCTCAAGCTACTGCTTGCGGCTCAGGCTGTGACAATACTCTTGCTTGTCAACTTGACTATGTCTGGATTCAATTAAAATCAAGCATCTGGACACACCTACGAGGGGCTTATCTTAATTTGAAGTGGGAAGAGCCACATTTAATCTGGGTCACACCTTCTGGTGGCAGTCTATATAAAGGACATGGAAGAAGGAAGCTTTTGCTCTTTGCCTGCTTGCTCTGGCTCTCACAAGTCCATTCCTTCTAGCAAGTCCATTCCTTCACTGGCAGTAGAGTGAACCTTCTTCAGGGTTCCAGAGCTGAAGACCAGCTGAGACATCCAGGCTCATGGGCTGAGCAACTACTGGATCCTTGGACTTTCTATCACTAGACAGCATTGTTAGACTACAGCCTGTAAGTCATGCTAATAAATCCCACGTGTGTGTGTGTGTGTGTGTGTGTGTGTCCCATATATGTTCCATACATATCTCCTATATATAAATAATATATTCTAATACATTTGATATTTCTATGCATCCTAATAAATCACACACATATATATATATATATATATATATATATTTTTTTTTTTTTTTCCAGTAAGTTCTGTTCCTCTAGAGCAGTGGTTCTCAACATTCCCAATTCTACGATCCTTTAATACAGTTCCTCATATTGTGGTGACCCCAACCATAAAATTATTTTCATTGCTACTTCATAACTGTAACTTTGCTACTGTTATGAATCATAATGTAAATAGCTGATATTCACAGTATCTGATATTCAACCCCAAGAGGTCACGACCCACAGGTTGAGAACCAATGCTCTAGGGAGTCTTGAGAATCCTGACTAATACATAGGCTGACCTTACTAACCTTCAAGAGGAAACAGACATATATCAAAGCAAAACTACCAATGCATGCAAAATAAAAATAAATAAGTTAGCTGGGCAATGGTGGCACACACCTTTAATTCCAGCACTCGGGAGGCAGAGGCAGGCAGATCTCTATTAGTTCAAGGCCAGCCTGATCTACATAGCTAGTTCCAGGACAGGTTCCAAAGCAATACAGAGAAACCCTGTCTCAAAAACCAATAAATAAATAAATAATTTTTTAAAAGAGGAGAAATAAAAACAGAGCAGCCACACACAGACTCCACCTGGAGGCAGCTGCCTTATTGCAATAGAAGCCTCTCACAGAAGAACCATCTTGCACCAGGAACTGATGACCCCCTTTAGAAATGCCTCACTTTGAGGCAACAGGGTGGAGGACACAGTGTAGGCAGGCTGCCGGAGAGGTCACAAAGGGCAAACAGCTAGCTGTCAGTAGAAGCTTCAAAGAAGGAGGGAACAAAGCCCTCAGTGACTAAGGCACAGGATCCCAGGGAACCTACTCAGTGCCCACTGCTGTGAAGCCCCTGGCCATTCCTCCAGCTCTGCCTCCCTCTGCCTTTAGCGCAGGCCCAGGAACAGGAAGGAAAAAGCCTAGGGACTTGGGACTTGAGACTGCACCCAAGCAGCTGTCCACAAATACCTACCTGGGCAGAGGTCCTAGGCATAAGCCCAGGCTTCCCAAGGGCCTACAGCAGTAGACATATTGCAGATTGCTATCTAGGAGAATACTGTCTCTACAGGCTGGCAGTTCTGTTTGCACAAAGCTCCCTCATTTGCCTCTTCTCTATCTAGGCAGGCCACTCTCAGATCCATAGGAAGTGCTGACTAAGCACCAGCTGCATGTGCCCAGCCCTATGCTGTGTGCTGCAGAACAGGCGAGGCCCATCCCCGAGGAGTGCCCAGCTCCTCAGTAACTGCACACACATTCAACCATTTCCTAACACGTGCAAAGCTGAGCCCAGAGAGGCACGGCAGCTTGCCTAAGATCACACAGCTGAAAGTGCTTGCCAAAAGGGCTGGGACTCAAACCACAGCTCCTGGGAGCAGGCTTCTCCACTGTCACTCTAGGGGACAAAACCAAATGCCACAAGCACACAAACTGCAGTTCTGCCTGGCTCTCTGTCTCAGTGCCAAACACCAATGGGCTAGGACTGCTGGGCTGAGAAACCTCAGACACCAATGGTTGAGACAAGTCTCCAGAGACACTCCTCTACGCAAAGCCAGGCTGCAGGCCACCGGGACACATGTGTGTGGTGTGAGGACACACATGTGCACACTTCAACACATGCTCCTCTGGTTCCAGACATGACCTGTCTCCTCAAACACATAGCCAGGCTGAGGAGCTGCTGCACGCCCGAGCCCATGGGAAACCAGGCCTGGTAAACATTTGTATTTGTCAATCTAATTAGGCCATTTCCCGGGCAATAGGATGCTCCAGCCACAAGGATTCAGCCCACCCAGGGCTCTTATTCGGCCCCTGGAATAGCTGAACAGAGGGATACGAGACTACAGCTGGCAGCAAAGCTTCCTCCTGGCCCATTGAGAGGGCCAGGAACCCAGCAGCAGCAGCAGCCACTTCCATAGGCCAGCTCCACCCTGAGCCAGTTCCAAGGCTAGACCCAGACATATCACACCAGGGCAAGATTCAAGGTTCCTCCACAGACCCACCTCTTGCTTCCAGCCACTACATTGGCTGGCGACTGGGAACCCTTTGCCATAGCCCCCTCAAAAGTTCCTGTGGCTAGACTGAGATGGCTCAGTGGGCCAGAGCCTGTGCTGTTCGAGCATGAGGACCTGAGTTTAAATGGAAGAAGCTGGGTGCTCTCCCCTGAAAACCCAACACTGGGAACTGTGCAGAGATCTCTGGGGTTTTGTGATCACCAGCCCTGTCCAAAACACAGAGTGCTCCAGGTCCAGTGAGAGGCCCTGTCCTTGGGTCTGCACACTTGCCTGAAGGCCCACTGTTCCCAGTTCCCAGGTGTGGGAAGTGAGCTACAGACAGGTGCAGTCATTGCCATGGTCACTGTGATTTTCTTTTTCTTTTTTCCTTTCTTCCTTTCTTTGTTTCTTTCTTTTTCTTTCTTTCTTTCTTTCTTTCTTTTTTTTTTTTTTTGGTTTTTGTTTTTTTGTTTTGTTTTGTTTTGTTTTTTTGTTTTTTTTTTTGTTTGTTTTTTGGTTTTTTTTTTTGTTTGTTTTGTTTTGTTTTGTTTTGTTTTGTTTTTCAAGGCAGGGTTTCTCTGTCCTGGAACTAGCTCTTGTAGACCAGGCTGGTTTGGAACTCACAGAGATCCACCTGCCTCCCGAGTGCTGGGATTAAAGGCGTGTGCCACCGCCGCCAGGCTGAAAGCTATGATTTGAACACAGGCC